CGAGCCTTGTTTCCCTCTTGGACCCGCTATTCAGGTTTCGATTAATCTGATATTAAATCAGTCCTTTTTGTTGTTAACTTGAAGCTCACGTGCGTCTCGTGAAAAGGTTTACGTGCCTGAGCTGGGAGGCCATTTGTCATGTCGAATGAGAGTTAAACTCATGCAGCAGGCGACGGGAAAAAGCCTGCAGCCACACACTGATTAGGAAAAACATGCCTGAAGCTAACATACTCTTCCACACAGTGACTGACACCTGGACGGATTCATTTCAGCTCCACCGAATCCTAAAGCCGTGTGCTAAACTGCGGGCTGTTGCTAGAGAACTGACCGCCTCTCCGACAGTGTTTGTTGTTTGTGAGCGAGGAGGAGTTTCTTTGAAAGGGAACGGAGGTGCAGCTGCCGCAGAAAGGACCCTCTGAGAGGCAGTGAAGTGCCGCCGGGAAACAAGCGATCCTTTTCATCCTGCCTCCTTTTCTCATTTGGCACACATTTTGTGACTCCTTTTTTTCCTCTCTCTCTTCATATGTCCGTCTTCCTCCTTTCACTTATTTCGGTCAATCCTTCTTTCTTGCCCTATGTGGAAAATGCAATGGTTTCCTGGGATGAAGAACGAGACATTCTTTCACTGTGAACAATATCATCAAGAGCAGGAGCCACTTCATGTAACTACCTGGCTATTCCGTGTGTGTGTGTGTGTGTGTGCGTGCACGTATGCAAGTGCTTGATCTGTTAAAACCAGCTACTGCACATTGGTAAAGGGCAGTGGGTGATCGCGCCGTGTATCATCATGAAAGTCTGCTTATTCAGTACTTTCAAAAGATAACCGACAAGATCACACATATGCACACAGCTCTGCAAAGAAACGGAAAATCACTACAGCATTAAAACCCCGCTCAGTCCAAAATGAAAAGTGGATATGTATCAAATGAAAGCTAATGACACTCTGGATATGTTCTGCAAGCTGATGAAGCTGGATGGTGGAGTTATTGGGAGGACAAGGGAGTCAAACATGGTGAGAAAAAGCAAGTAAGGGGTCAGGCTGACCAAGAAAATGAATCACAGTTAAATATAGTTGCATCCGGACGGGTTTACGGCAAAATATCTAGATGGTTCCAGAGTTGTAATGAGCATGCAGTGACAGGTTTCTCTTGCCATGAAAGCCTGGAGAAATGTGCACGCACCGTGCTGCAGTAGACTTCCAGTGATCCTTCCTATTGGACCACAGTCCGTACAAGTGTACTGCTGGCCGCTCCAGCTTGTTATCTGCAACGAGCACCGTAAGCAACAACAGTCTCAGTTACTGCAGATGACTTTTAGCTGCCCATGAGGACAAAGTGAAAACAAAAAGCGGGTGGCAGGAGGGCCAAGACCTTTGGTCTCATTTAGCCTCCAACTGCTTTACCTTCTGCTCGCTACAGCTCAACATCAGAGGGCCAAAGGAGCAGGGACAGGAGCCAGGGGCAGGATGTCACGTCTAACCCGGAGCCCGGCAGCCAAACCAGCAAGGCTCTGTGGGAAGCTCCGTCCCAGCTCCGAGAACAAAGGTGAGGGTCTGACACTGGCCAGGCGGCCCCCTGCTCCTGGCCGGACTCCAAGTCTTCTAGGACCCTTTAAGGCGGCACTACAGGACCATGGCCAGCCTTTGGCACTGCGGAGACCCTTTAAAGCCATCGCTCATGGAGCGGTTCCCCAGGGCACGCGGGATGTGACTTGGCAGAAAGAACCCCCCCCCAAAAAAAAAAACCTGAAAAAGGAACACAGATGCAAGTGAGTCCGGTCTTGGACAGTGGCCCCCAAATCCCCAACACAAGGTAGGTACAAAGAACAGGACAACAGTGACAAAATAACCTTCCTACTACTATTATAAAGTCTCAATGCCTTCCATTATGCTGCCTGTGTCACTTACATAAACAATACACCTCTATTACTACTGAGAAAGTCGTTTTAAGTGCAGTTCACGTCTACCTCACTAACGCAGACCAGTGACTAAACTGATCAACTCCCATTGGGATGTTAAGCTTTGCTGTTAATGTGGAAATGAAAAAAATTAAAATATCCAAATCGGTCACCATCTCGTAAGGACTGTGGGCTACATTACAATAATCAAACATCAATTTAGAAAAGGTTGGATACTCCACGCAAGTACATTTGAGTGACATGACAGAGGGTCATAAATAAAACCTGATAGCCGTCACACAACCAAACCATTACCTCGCAGTCAGAAACAGTCAACTCAACTTTTCTATTAGCTAACTGATCGCATTAAAACATAAAAATGCAAAACTATGCAGTCAGAGTTCAGCCCCTTAATGAGTGGTATGACAAGCAGACCTTCAATACATTAGTCAAGTACATTAATGCGTAACCAAATATTTCCCCAAAGCTCAGAATGTGGGCGCGACGTGCGCTGAAGGCTAAAATGGCAGCAATGCATTTGACATGAATCCGCATTAGTGTGAAGGGATGGGCAGGGCGAGAGAGGGAGTGGGCTTTAAGGAGGTCGGAGTGGTGTCCAGCAGGGTTCAAGTGCTGGTGTTTTGGTCTCCAAAGAGGAAACAGCAAGACTGGGATCCAGTAATCAGAAAAACCTCCGACACGATAACAGAGGAGTCTTGCTCTCCATCGGAGCGGCTTGAACAATTCCACAGTATGTCGCCGCATTAATGAAGTACTTGGGCTCATATGCAAATGGGACAATGGGGCGAGACACTTTGCATGTGGTGAGGGTGTGAGGGGAATGCGGCTCGGGTCTCTGTGGGAGGGGGAGAGCCCCAAAAGGTGGGAACCGGGCAACCTTCTCACCCTTGTTCTGTGTTCCTCCACAAGGGTAAAATAGGGAGTAGTGGGGAGGTTGTGAACGAGACACTGCAATAGCAAACATTGTATGGTGGGGTTTGGGGGAGTAAATACCAACGTGGGGGTGGGGGGGGAGGAGGGAGGTGCTGTGGTTACAGCGTTCTCAGCTAAAACAGCGTGATCGAGATTCAACACACAAAACACGGCGACAGAGCAAAACACACTCACATGATGCACTCCATACACACACACAGACACACACACACCCAAAGCACTCTGCAGACCCCAAAACAAGTTGTAAATGGACAACAACAACAAAAAGATGTGGCACTTTGCCATAATCCCCAACAAGACAACAGTCTCCCATGAACAAGAACAATCTCTGGGAACATCTGAATGAAATGACAGTAAAATGGAGGAATTAGTAGATGGATGAGAGGAGGACGGGATGAATGGTCGATCTGGGCCAAAGGACTGCACTTAGTAGAGCTGCTTTCTTCCACCATACTTCTGAAGCTGTAGATCTTTCAGTGAGGTTTGGTGTGAATCCGAGCATGTTGGCTCCTGCGTGCATGCACATTAGGCAATTTGGTGTAAAAGTAAATCAATCACACTTACAACTATGCATGAAGACACACACGTGAGCAACACACTGTAACCTTCCTCTCAACCTTTAATGTCTTCAGCAGCCGCTCTTCCTGGCTCTTCCTCGCGCTCTTAAATTTCTATGTTTTTATCCCTCCTGTCGTGAAGTTTCCCGCACGTGAATCTGCTGTTTGCAAATGCAATTCTGTAGAATATATTTGATTGAAAAGCATTTGCACATCATCGCGATGGATACAGCAGAACAATGGATCCCTGATATAAAGTGTTAAACACATTGTTAAAGGTTTATTTTTAAGGTTAAGCCCCCGGCTGCACATCTAATCTACCATATACTGAAAGTTCTTAATAAGTTTCATTGAGCTTGAAGAAGCAGAGAACTGAAAAATGAGCAACTAGAACAGGTGTGGAAAGGAGAGAGAGGAGCACTTGGATCGGCCCCTGTTGGGACTTTGGCAGCTATAATAACAAAAGTAAAAGAGGGAAAAGTGATGGGCCGGAAACCTACATTATGCTAAATTAATCAGGGGAAAAAAGAACTTCCTCACAGTCTAGGGAGGAGGTGGAAAGACAGGAAGAGATGCAGGTAAGTAGCGTGGGAGAGGGATTGACATGGGAGATACTTGTCATTCCGATGTTCCCATAAAACAGCAGAACTTTACAGCTTTATTGTCCGTCCTCCACGCAAAATAACGGTCCACTAGAGGACAGTTACTTTGACTATCTCTCACCAACCGAGGGACGCCGTGGAAGCGAGGCGCCGTGTGAAACATTTACACTCCAAAAGAAAAACGATACATCATTGTACTTCATTTAGAAGTGGTTACAACTAACATACAAGAGGAAAGAACAGTGTTGCCATCCTTTTATAGGGGAAGAAATGATCATCAGATCCCACGTTTGCATGGTACCGTACCAGTTTTGACTGGTGTGTAAAGTTCAAATTCCACTAGGACCATCGAGTGCAAGTTCAAAATCAATAGACTGAAATAATAAAAGATTAATCAAATAAAAAAGGCCTTTGTGATCAAAATCAAAAAAGCTGCAATTAAAAATGTAAATGTTTAGTTTTATTGATCTAACCAATCAGAGGGTCAGAAACATATCTGGGGGCCTGATCATGGAAGAGAGGACTTTCACGTCACAGGAACAGCACCTCTGGTATCTGGACGGATTTGGTGTTTAGACATGAGGACGCAGAGCGTGACCTGCTAAGGGCCAACAGTTAAAGGTTCATGAATATTCTATTCTACAACTCATTGGCGAAATAAAGTTTTATTATTTATGCATCAAATAATTTCACTTCATCGTCACATCAGGACCGGGCCCCCATGAAGATGCGGGATATTTATTGACTGTATCCAATGTTGCTTTGGCCGTACTATGTAATGATTTAGCGCTTGTGCATATTGGATAATACAGAAGATAAGAAACTTTTAAAAAAATTTAAAAAACACTAAATCCCAAAAGTCCCTAAATACATATTGGTCTAAAAACACCAAAGCGGTGTGGAGAAAAGCACACAAAGATGGAAGATTAGATAAAAAGGGGAAAGTCCTGAGTAACAGGTTGTATGTGTCACACACAGAGAGAATGCGTACCTTATACCGCATCTTGGGACAGGAGTGGATGTAAAAGCCCAGGTAGTAGAAGGACAGCTTGGGAGACTGTTTCTGCAGCTGCCTGGTGAAAGCGATCTCCCTGCAGCAGGAAACACACACGCACAAAGGGTAATCAGCAGTTTGCAGAGCAATATACTAGAGAAAGCAGAGTCAATTAGAATATACCAATTTATATTGCAATGCCTCTTAAGTGTACAACTTTAAAAAGTATTTGCAGGTTAGCATATGCATGAGGGCACTGAGAAATCACAATGGTGCTAGCAGCTGTGACAGTGCCTGAGCTGAAGGAAGTGAACACTCGCACTCAAAAAAAAAGGCAGCTTTTCTTAGTCTCATTTCATTATACAAAAACAACTGCCTTCTCTTTGTCGCCATTGAGCCCTCCAGCAGAAAAGGTGCTGGTGAAAAAAGGAGAGAGCGTGTAAAATAAAGATTTAGAACTTGGAAGATTTATATGGCTTCTTCAAATACAGTAAATGTCTTGCCCGCTTTATTTTTCCCCCAATAGTTTCTCCCTTAATTGCATCCTTTCTCTGAAAGCCCATTTTCTCCGTTCCTTCAGTATTCCATAACCAAATTCCAGCCCGGCTTTCTTCTCTCTTTTTGTTTCACTCTTCCTTCCACCCTCTGTGTTTCACCCACTAAAAGGGAAGGGGGAGACGTCTTCTTACAAAACCGAATAGAGAGAAAGAGGCCTTAAAATTAAATAGATGCACTGAAAAATAAGACACGGGACAAAGCAGGCGGGGAGGGGGAGAGACGGGAGAGACGGGGAGAGAGAGGGAGCAGGGGGAGAATATAAAAGAGGAGGGTCAAGGAAGAGAAAGGGAGGGAGAGGAGAGGCAGCTACAGCGAGGTGCTAGAAGGTCACCCGCTTGCTGCCAGGTTCCTGGGTTCCCAGCCCCTCCCCACAAAAGCACCCGGGCAGGCCTGAATTGGGGGAGAAGGGAGGTGGGTCAAGAGAGCCCCATTCACAAAAAAAATAAAAAGCCCCAGCACCCCCCTTCACTTGAGGCCTTAACACCCCCACCTCCACCCTCCATGGCAGCAGCTTGAGACCGCCATTATCCCCTCTTCAGCCATCTGACACTCCAGCACAAGCCAATTATCAAGCCCTCTGCTTCTGCACGGCTCCCCTCGTACTGATGTGCGCGCGCACACACACACAAAACAATAGTGCTTACTGCCCACTCGCATGCATGCAAAACATTTCACCACCGAAAACTACAGGAACCAGTGTGGCCGGACCTGACTGGAAGCCCACATGGAGACGGGGAAACCAACCTAAAATGACAATGACACATGGTGTGTGTGTGTGTGTATAAACTATGCATTAAAAACAACTGGATGAAGCTGCGGCACAGCTGCTTTACTAAAAGCCCAAATGGGATCCCCGAAAATCATTCAACTTCAAAGTTGTGAGCCAGTTATAAAGGCATGTGAACTAAACAGCATCCAACCTGCAGCAGCCAGCATTGCAAGTCAATGACATGGCTTCAAGCTGGCCGTGTGTGTGCAGAGCCTCTTTGTATCTCAACAAATTGCACCGTTCTGCAGGTGTAATACACTAAACCGTTGCTGTGGTTTGACACTGACATTAAACTTAAAAAGCACTACTTTCCTCAAACACTACGCACAATTATTTGTCACTACATAAAATATTCCTTTAAAAATATCATCACTGGAATGTTGCACAGATTTCTTTCAGATAACAGTCTTACTTATTCTAAATTAGGCAGACTGCAGACTATATGTGCACTTTGCCACTTTCCTGCAATATCAAAAATGAGTAAGAACTTGGATGAGATCAGTGGCGACACATCAGGACATCTCCATGAGAAAGTGATGGAGCTTGGACACCAGCTGCGTTTCCGACACACAGCGCCTCAGGCCCCTCATTATGTGTCTCTTTACCTCTCCTCCTCTTCCTTCTTCCTCTGGGCCCGTGGCAGAGGGAGCTAAGCCCCTGCAAGACGGTCCTCAACACCGCCCTCTCCTGTTTCTACTGCTGAATGGCACATATACACACATACCAATGTACTGAAGCCCACAAAACACACAGTGCTGGCCTTGTTTTTGTACTTTTTAAACAAACATTTCCCCCCACAACTGTAACATCATCCAAACTCAACGTCGGCTCTCTCAGATGATCAATTAAGGACAAAGTTCTAATGTGCACTCCTCTTAAAATGGTGCACTCCTACAATGAACGGCCCACGTTCCAATCCAGTTGGGCTTACTGTGGAGATAACATTCTAAATGTTTGCTCACGCTGTGTGTGGGGGGGGGGCGGGCGCATGCACTCTGAACAGAACGTTTTGGACAGAATCGGCCAGGCCAAGCAGCCCAGGGACAGTCCAGACCCGATCAAAGGCCCAAGCTCTGGTGACCACACACACACACACGCACACACACACACACACACACACACACACACACACACACACACACACACACACACACACACACACACACACACACACACACACACACACACACCTGTGTTGTTCCAGGAGTCAGACTCTTGAAACAACAAGTTGATGACCAGGGTGTTCCTTCTGTCCGAGCAGAGCACATCTCGAACCGGCCGGCCGGCCTAATGTGCGTCGCACGCGCATGAACGCCGATGGCCGCTCGCAACTCCCACACAAACATCTGGTACTTTGAAGTCGAGATCCCAGAATTTACTCCACATCTGTGCAGATATATTTTTAAAAGCCATTCCCACATTATTGGGTTACATTTTACATGGAACCTCAGATATGTGCGCCTGTAGCGTAGGTGTTCTCCTGTTACATGTCGGCAGAGACAGCTGTCGTCAGCAGAACCACAAACGGAGCGCTGCCTCGGCCAATCAAGTGTAAAGAAAGTACAGGTACTAAGCGGGAGACAAAAAATCTTGGAGGAGGGGAAAAGATCAAGAGGCAGGGACAAAGCAGGTCAAATATAAAAAGAAGAATCGAGAGAATGGTCACCAACAAGGCGCTATTTGTAAAGACACGGTACAGTTACTGTAAGTAATCTGGATACTCCTAAAGCTTGATTCCCCTCTACTTCATAGTTCTCTTTGAGCACCACTGGTGTACTTTTGGCGGGAAAGGTGAGCCAGAGCTGCAGCATTCTGAGCCACCAAGCAAAAACAGCAAGGATATTATCAACAAGCACGAGGAGAATCCGTGACACATCATCGCCACCATCTAATATGTCAATGGCCACTATCAAAAGAGGAAGAGGAAAAAGGTGATGACGTGGATGACGGGCGAAGTCCTGGCGACCGACCTGAGAGCAGAGTAGGAGCCCAGCGACAGCGAGGCAAAGTCCGGGTGGTAGTAAAGGTAGACTGAGGACACACACGTAGGCAGGATATCGATCACCCCCACCGCCACGATGCGCCCGTCCAGCAAGTACTGCTGGTGGAAGGAGCCGTAGCCCGCCTCGGGCCCATCGGGAGAGTGTTCTGCCTGGGGAGAAGCACAGGGAGAACCAGAGTAAAAAGGGGGGGGCTTGTGTGCCTTAGAGTTCCTATGCAAAATATATAAAGCACAGCAGAGCGACATTGTGGTATTTCATGTTTTTCTACCTGTATGATGGTGTATGTATGAGGCTTTTCCCCGCTGGGCCTCACACATAATGTGTGTGTGAGGGGGGGGTGAGTACAGTAGCCTCACATTCAGCCAGCTAATGGCTCCCAAATGTGCAGAGAGCGCTGGGTGGAGTTGCGGGGTGGGGGGTGGGGGCGATTGACGCCGGCTCCAGAAACACTCCAGGAGAGGACTGTTTAATAAAAAGACCCCGCATGAGCAAAATCCATTACACCAGGCGGTGGAGGAGTGTTGCTAAGCTTTCTCGCCTATATATGTGTGTCGGCTCTCTCCATGTGGCATGAAGCCCCCCCCCCCCCCTCCCCCATAAATAACACCGCTTAGTATTTGACACACGGGGCGCTTCTCATCCACACGCTGGGGTTCTCAATCAAGTCTCTATACTGCTTTTATCATGGGGGCTTAAGACTAGAGGCTTGGGGTTAGGGTTAAAAGTCATAGTAAGCTGGGGGGGGGGAGAGCGGGGGGGGGGCACTGGTAACGGGAGCCTTCTCCTTCACCGACATTCATCTGGACTCAGTTAAGCACTGCAGACGCAGCTAGTTATCACAACACGGAGAAAGCTGGCTCGCTAATCCACCGTGCCACCGGGCCCACACTCCGATCAAATTAGACCTGACCAAACAAAGACAACCCCCCCCCCCTCCCCCCGGGATAAACCTCACTCCTCACTAGCATGCAAGATTCTCATCAGTAGGGTAAAATATTATATCCCACTAGCTCAGGGCCCTTGAACACTCCGGTCTGATTACCTGCCTGACACTATATACACAGCACAGTCCATGTACTTTTGAGTGTTTGTGGGAGTTGTCAGAGTGGGGGGGGGGGGGAATTATTATGATGATGTGGGTTTAGGCAAAAAGGAGGGAAGAATCAAGAATATGAGGGGGGCAGCTGGGGGTGTGGACGGGTGACAGGCACCACATCTGGAATAAAGCCCTCTACCTGGCTGTGTGTGTGTGTGTGTGTGTGTGTGTGTGTGTGTGTGTATGCGAGTGTGTATGCCAGTGTGTTTTGGGGAGCTGTCTGTCCGTGGGAACAGGCAGCCTGTTACTCCTTGGCACCAGTTCCCCCAGAAACACTGGGGGCTTTTGTCAGAGGCGGGTAAGAAGAAGATAGAAGTAGAAGGGAAAACATCCAGAGGTGATGTGTGTGTGTGTGTGTGTGTGTGTGTGTGTGTGTTTTTCTCCTCCCTACCACCAGCCCAGCGCAATTTCTCGGACTCAAGAGAAGTTGTGTGCTTCCGAGCCGGCATGTTTGTTTGTGATTTCGTCCCACTTTCAAAGCCCCTTCTCGTCTGGCAGACTTGTGCGTCACCTCGGATGACGGCCTAATGGCTGCGTCCTTCGCCATCCGGGACAACAATCTAAACAGTCGCTGGAACCCTTCAAACCACCCAGAGTTTCCCCTGCAGACGCTAATCGCTCACACATGGCCAGAATACAGGGCCCTGCGAGCGGCGTGCTGCCTGGAGCGCGCGCGCGCACACACACACACACACACACACACACACACACACACACACAGAGGTCCCCCCCCCCCTTAATAACGGTCCCACATGGCAGAGAATTAAAGGAAATCTGTACTGTAAGAAGTGATATAAAAGGATTGAGCGTACAGTGAGAAAACATTTGTGTGACTGTCTAATTCAACATGACGATATATCGATCCAAACATTAAACATTAACAGTGCTGCAGTTTTAATTGTCTCATGTGTGTGAAAGGAAAATGTCCTCCATGCCTATCGATGATCATTCTTCACAAACAGTATTGTATGTGGTTGAAAATCAATGGAATGATTTGTAGCCTTGCTTGGATTCTGCAGGGCCCAGTTTTCCTTCCAACTTTTATTCGTGTCTTTAATGAGTAACACACGATGGAAAACCAGATTTGGATGGAGCGTAGCGTTTCAGTCAACTCCACAAAGCGTTTGATCCAAGCGGTTTTCCAATAACAGGATGGAATACGGCTCGGCTTTTGCTAAGGCAATGCGACGGATTTTGGAAATAGCTTTAGTTTATTTCACTTCTAAACAACAATAGTGAATGTACACAATATACAGTCAGAAGTATTTGGCCAGTTTTCTAAATCTTTACGCATCTTGAAACGATTCGAAGTGAAGCACTCAGTATTTGGTTTAAGCAGGACGCGTTCAGCTTTAATTTGTTGAATTAAAAAAAAACACTAATTGTTTAGGAATTAGAGCCATTTCGACACAAGTATCCACATCTTCAGAGGCTCAGAAGTAACTGCAAGAACAGCTTCTTTTTGATACTTTCTGAGGAGCTCTTTGCAGTCAATGATTGCCTGAAGCACCCATAGAGTTTCCTCCCTTGAGATGCTCTGCCCGCCTTTTACTGCAGGCTCCTTCAGCTGCTGCTTGTTTGTGGCTCTTTCCACATTCAGATTCATTTCAGGTACTTCCACCATATATTCAATGCTTCAGCTCAAACCACTGAGGCAAAATGTAGAAATATTGTGTGCGAGTCCAACTACTTATGTATTTGGAATGAGCATGGTTTCATCTAGTGTCCTGCTTGCAGACTTCCCCCTACTTTTATCCTAATCAGAATTCAGCATTCATTAGTCAGCATGTAATATGTGGTTTGTCTCTAAAAATCAGACGGATCATTGTTGTGGACAGAACCCATATTCCTTGTATCCCATCCATTGCTTTTATGTTGGAATCGAATCAGTGGAACTTTTCTTTTAATGCTTTACATCGACTCCTCAACCGTGTAAATCGGCAACATGGATTTATTGGACCGGCTGCAGCAACGATGCCGTTATGATTCTGGCTCCAATCACAAGCAGATGGTGAACGCACACATCAGAAAAACTCTCGCCTTCCGTCCCTCACACATGTGCAGGTGCAGCACGGCGCACATCGCAAGCACCGATATCACGCACACGTCAGTGTGCAAACATATGCACTTCTCCCGTGCCGCGAAGGACGGGGAAATTTACATTTACTGAACGGATCGGTTTGAGAGTAGATACAGCTGGTGGACTTTTTGGTTTTGGGCTAAGGGTACAGCTGAGGCATGCACAGTAGGGTCTGTGTCCTCACTACTATGGTATGTCAGCTGGCGCATTCCCTGCTGAGGAGTTCTCGGGTTTCTGTACGTAATGGAAATTGTCCTTCTCTCATCTCTCAGGGAAAGAGAAAGAAGAGAAAGGCAGAGCGCTGTGGCCACAATAAAAACAGAGTGACTAATTGGCCAACACCCCTTTTAACGAGTGTTTGCCCCTTGGTTAGACACATTAAGAGGCTGTTAACAAAAATAAATAGAAACCGAACGAGTGCACGAACCCCGCACAGCCCATAAAACAGAGTTTCAGCACATGGCACCTGGACCTCAGCGGGGTCCAGTGCAGTGACACACGCACACACACCTGCTGCTCGCCATGTCTGCAGGTACTGACGTGCCACTGTTTATCAGGCTGCACCAGTGTTCACGTGTCCACGTGTGGGCCTAAATGCATTCAAAGAAACAAAAAAGTGAGCCGACGTTAAATACTTCAAATCGGTGAAACAGCACAACACACGAGTAAGAGTCAGTCAGTCAGAAGTGGGACGACCTCGATTTGATTAGCTGCAGTTGGATTTGTGCGGATAACGTTTGCATACATTTGTATAAATACCGGCTTGTATGCGAGCTGATGAACCACACAGTATGCAGGCCCACGTGGTGTGTGTGTGTGTGTGTATTTTAATAGCACTCTGATTGCATGCAGATGTAGGCCGACACGCAGAGGTAGCACATAATCACTCTGAAATGGAGAGCATTTGGAGAGAGACAGGAGTAGACGGGGAGGGGGGAGGGAATAAAAACACCCTGCGCCAGAGGAGGCCGAAGGAACAAGGACGGCCCCGTGAACCATTCTGAGAGGACGGGACAGTGGAGGCAGGAAGATATGTGAGGCAGCGTGTGTGTGTGTGTGTGTGTGTGTGTGTGTGTGTGTGCGTGTGTGTGTGTGTGTCTCCGGCCGCCAGCCTTGACAAGGTGATAAAAGCTTGTTTCCTATAAACGCTAATGATGTTCATTAGTGAAGACCTGTTGGGGCCCACAGGGCAGCACAGAGTGACTGTGTGTCTCTGTGTTAGTCGGTGTGTGTGTGTGCGCGTGTGCGTGTGTGTGTGCCCTGGACCTCAATCCTATGAAAGTGGTGGTTACAAGTGCCCATCCTGGCTCTAATTTCTGGTGTAATTGTCCTGCCCCAACAGGTCCACAATGTTCGAGGAGGTTAGCTAAGCGCTCGCTGCTGCATTTCTCACCTCAGTGAGAATACGTCAGCATAGAAGAGAAGCCTCCAATACGCCGCTCACCTTTACCCTCTAAAAATCAAATCAGTCAATATATTTCAGCCTTTACTGTTTCAAAGCTGGAATAGGCAGTGTAATGTTGCCGTCATTAGATCAGAACCCCTAAATATAATTATTAAATAATTACTGCAGTGGTCCCGTGGCTCTATATTCAGGCTTCAAGAAATCCCACAGCTGCAGTCAGCTAAAGATCAAGCAACATTTTCATCTCTTCCATCGTTCAGCCCTCCGAGGTCACCGGGAAACTTTGCCTGGTGATAAAAAAGCACTTTCAGCTTGCAGGGCTTTAATCCGTACCACACCACAAAGTTAGGCGCAGAGGTACGTCCCTCTCTGAAGACCACACAGTCCGGGGACGATACTTCACTGGTCCCCCGCCAGCACCCACTTTCATTTAGACAGGGCTAAATAAAACCTCTCCAATATGAACCAAAAACCGCTGGATGACGAGAGCTAGTGCACACTTAGTCCCTTTCAGTCGGTTTAGTAAAGAACTTTTGTGTTTGTTTCTTTGTAATCATCCCCACCACCATCGTGATGTCGGAGACAGTGATGTCAGCAGGGGGGGGCTCTCCGCTGAATTATTACAGGTCACAAATACAGACGAATGGAGACATTTAAAAGGTGGTTTCATTAAACTGTCCACAGGCCAAAGGAAATACATACCTCTAGTGGTGAATCACAGAGAAACCGCCGGAACTGTGGAAGGAGAGGGGGGTTGGGGGGGGAGGAGGGGGGGGGAGAAAAACAGTTAGTTCTGTGGGTCACCAACGCTTAAATGAAAAGCATTCACCTCTCCGTTGCTATCCTATACAGTTTATGCCTCCCTGCCTGTCACATAAAGTCCCGCCTCTCATTCCCGAAGGGGCGGCAAGAAACAAAAGAACACATTTGGCCCATCAGCTGAGGCTGAGGACACCGTGAAGCCTTGAATAACAGCCGGTGAAAGGCACATGAGAGATCAATTACTGGGGGCCTTTACGTCTGTGGAGCCATTAAATCTTTCTGCCGTTCCCTACACTCGCTCCGGCGCGCCTCCTTTTCACGCGCCGGGGGGTTGAGAGCAGTGTGTTTACAGACGAGCCGCCCTGCGGGACTGGACACGGAAAGCGGCGCACGCTGCCACGTTCAGGGGCCAAAAGCCCATCTGTAACGGGACGCAGCACGGGGGCCACGGCGGCGCAGTGACGGACAGCTTTTCACTGCCCCGTCTGTCTCGCGCTCGCTCGCCACGGTAACAAGTTCCTCTTTCACGAGGAAACGCCAGACGCCAGCGCGGCCTTTCAGAAAGGTTCTACTTTGCTTCAGCTGTCAAAAAAAGATATAATACAAAATATCACAAACAATTATCCCACTGCTGTAAATACTGGGGGGGTCCTCAAAGATTTATTAATAAGTTAAACTCATCTTCCACCAAAAAGCGACCGATACTCACGAGAGTAGACGTAGCTTCCAAAGTGCACAACAGACAGCATTAAATGAGGCCTGAGTAACACAAGTGATCATTAAACAATCGGACCGCTTCTATTTCAACTCGGCCCCTTTTCTATAGTAACCCCAAGTGAGTCTGTGGCGAGGCCTCATGAATCCTGCTTCCAATCGCCCGTTTATAGGCCAAGTCATCGCCTTGGGGAAGCAGACCAGTGACACCCGAAAACGCCAGGTTCTGTCTAGTCAGCAGTAGGAATAAAAAGGGGAGGTAAAACGGTTTCTTGTGAAGATACGTTGGACAGTTCTTCATCGAACCGAAGGTATTGACAATAAGACTCTCACAGCGACTCCTGTACACACACGCACGCAGCGTCCTGGGTGGGCCACTGCTGGCATGTAGCACAACTCGAAATACCGACACTTCTACTAAACTTATCCAACAGAGAGTGCGTTTGTCCGCTGATGTGTGCGTCAACACCAAGGCAGTGTTCTCCACCACGAGGGACGTTTTGGCAGCGAGGGGTTACAGAGTGATGCACCGTCATCTGTCATTTCGATTTCACCCCGGTCCAGAGCCAACGGTTCTCACTACCTTTCAAAGTCGCCCCCTTGAGTTGGACCGCGGTCATAAATATGGAGTAGATCTAACAAAAACATTAGCGACGTTCAAGGCGGCAAAAAGCGCGACTATAAACTCACTCAATCAGGATTACACAAGCAGACGGCCTGTGTGGGGAATCCTCCTTTTTGCGGAGAGGAACAGGCGTGATAAAAGACTCATGGACCGTGCACCCTGCAGTGCGCGGGACTTAAAACGCACCGGCTCACCCTCAACTCGACCCCGTAGCAGCACGCAGAGCAGCAGAGGGGAGGGACAGTCCTCTTAACCTCACGCGCTGCTACTCGATGCCGTACGGTGAACTGCTTATGCTTACACACTTAAATAGGAGCATTCGGGGCACATTTTACACATCAGTGGGGCTGATAATGATCTCCAGTCTCCCCCCTTTACCATGTCGGCAATGTTCCTCTCCTAACTGGGACCACCGCACTCTGCCAGTTAACAAATTACCAACAGCAACGCCTCCCAATGAGTAGTATGGCTGCAGGGGACAAATTAAACTTTTGTCTAAGCCTCACAAAAAACAAATGGTTTACCAACAGAACAACGGCTGCAGTCATTTGATGACATCATTTATAAAGGCCATGAAAAGGCCGGGCTGCTGTGCACGTGTGGAAATATGAACCTCCGATGGCCTTTCTGGTGAAATGCCGTGTTATGTCACTGTGTGAGACACACGTTAAGCTCTGACAGCCCGCCGCTTTAGCAGGCGCTCATCAGGAGGGCTGATGGGTAACCGTATTAAGGGGAAGCAACTTTCCACTGGTGGGCGGGGCCACTTTCTCCTGGAGGAGGGCAGCTCGAGACAATCAGCAGACCACATGGCGCTGCCAGTCTGGGACGTTCTCCTCTGCAACACAGAGTCCATCACTTCCTCACGAACTCTCCTTTTCCTATAGTAAAGACTCATCTGTGTACGATTAGAAGGGCAACACACACGTGCATCTGCTTAGACCTAATTGCTACTTAGATCTCGTCATTGTGCTCAAATGTCTGTGCTTATTTTAGCGACAACGTGCCTTAATCTATTGCGTTAAAAACAATCATTCGAAAATGTTGGCTGACTTGATATTTGTTTGTTTCAGAGGGCAGCAATGGGGACTATGAAATCTGATATAAGAGGAATGTTTCTTATAAAGATTCATTGAATATCTCGTTATTCAGCTTTGAGAAAAGCCAAAATGTTTTTCTCTTGTTCATTTCTTCTATTTTTACTGACACATTTTATTGCCATTTTGCAGCTTTTTCCATATACTTCTATGCCTTTTTTTCGGTGTCTTGGTTAAGGTCCCGGCCATCAAGAGTAAATACAGATTTAAAAGGATTTGTTTTCATCAAAATGAATGCCACATGTGCAGGAACTCAGAGTCACGGCTCAGCAAAACAGTTAAGACCACTAAGTGTGAGTAAGAGTGTGTGTCTGTGTGTGTGTGTGTCTCTAAATAATTGCGTTTATAGTTTGTGCTTCAACTCTGTCAAGAAACCCTGACTGTGGACAGTCATTGTTTGACAGGAAATGTATACATCCTTAAACGAAAAAAAAGCCAGTTCCCTGTAGGACGTTGCACTGTCTAATGCCAGTACAATTTAGGCATGGTAATTGAACTTTGTGCCCCCGTGCACACGCACACGCAATCTCTCCGATCGCATGGCTCTGAGCCAGGCTGACAGCATTCCACACTCTGTCCCTAGGAAATACTTTAATGGATTAATAAATACCTAAACCGATACTACCGGGGGTGGAGAGCGGTGGGGGGGGTCTCTAAGCTTCTGGGAAGACAACAGGCGATTTAACCTGGAGCTCGACCGGCAGGAAACTAAAACCGGCGTGTTTGCTTTTCCCCCCGTGGGCTCAGGAGTGGCCTTCACAGGGGGATACGATAAAGAGCAGGGAGGATCGCGTACCAGGCGACTGCAGTGGGCAGAGAAGAACGCGTTTTGAGAAGCGGGACGCCACAAAAGGCCGATCCCAGGAGGATGGAAGCAGGGAATAACTCGCGATACATCATTTCATCACAGGAATCCGTTTAACGACAATATTTCATATGGAATTTTCATTCCTGCATAAAGCCGTCCTTGGTGAATTGGAATGAAGTAGTAATTAACCGAATCATAGTTTCACGTTTCATGTGCTTTGACACTAGACTACATTCCGTCTACGATACAACTTAGAAGGTCCATCGATAACAACAACAATTTTGCTTTATGAAGCCCTACACCTTTCTTTTGTTAAAGTAACTCCTGTGGTTGTTGAACCCGTTCTATTCCAGTACAGTTATAAACTGAAGCTGGAAACCAAGCGCACACGCACACACACACACACACACACACACACACACACACACGCACACACACACACGCTTTAATGGAGCTAGTGTTATGGCACTAGGAAAGAATCTGCCACAGCCTGCCCAATCTGACAGCTTTTAGTTTTTATTAATTACATTACTTTTACGAGCTGGAGAATTCAAGTAATTTACTGAGGCCTGCTGGCAGGAGGGTGAAGGAGGTTGTTTTTCCAGCCCTGAGGGACAAAAGCCCCTCTCAGGTTAGTGAGCAAGTCCAGCAATAAAAATGTAAATGTAAAGTGGAGAAAAGTATTTTACAGTCCAATTTACTGAGAATTATACAATCATTTTCAGACTTTACGCATCTATAATTGGTTATGGCCATTCATTATACATAATACCTATTTTTCACTGCATGAACTTGATCGCTCTTTTTATAGAGTTTAACATTCATTGCTTACACAAGCTAAGAATTGAGTGCGGAAAAATGTTTTTGAAGTATAAATCAGACCTGATGAATGCTGCCATTCTCCCGTAGCATGCACACTTCTCAATGTGATGGACAGCGTGATAAACTGAGGCTGATCCAGGCGCAAAGACTACAAATGAACAAAGAGATCATTACCAGATTGGGCCGCAAGCAGGGATCACTTTCATGATCAATTAACCTGTCGATAATTACAATGATCACCAAGTTATCATCTGAGGATTGCTTGTTTCACCAAACAGTCCAAAATCTAAAGACTAAAACGTCCAGTGTGCATGATTGACAGGGACTGTTCAGTGTACGCAGTCCTGCACCAAACAATAAAATTGTTTTGGTTGGCTGAGAATGTTGCTTTTCATTTCTTCCCACAAAGCCATGTTGCAGTCGTCCGGCAGGCAAAATGTGTCTTTGCGTTATCTGCAGGACAACCATACGCTCACTGACACGCTTTAAACAGAGGGGGGGGCGTTCAATTGGTTGCAATCCTAAACCTCACCACTAGGTGCCCCTAGATCAAACACACGCTACGTGAGATTACAATAACGTTAATCTGAAAATAGCAACGGTGCGGAATAATAATCATGCAGTACCTCGCTCTCACTACACTCGCTGGGTTCGTCGCCGTGAATGGCCATCTGGTAGCTGGCGTACAGCGCCACCGACTGCTGATAGGACGCTGTGAACTGAGGGTCCTCAAAGTTGACCGGCACTAGCCTCACCTTCAAGCACAGGGGTGTGGAGTGAAAGAAGCAATAAAGGTGGAGGAGGGTGGGGGAGGGGGAGGTATATAAAGGGTTGACAATGGATAAAAGGACGGCGAGTTGTTAGAAAACGCAGAATCATAAAAAGGTGCTTTTGAGGACTCAGAGGTTTTAAAACAGTGTCATACAAGTGTCAGTCTACTAGTCCTGAAGGCAGGCTGGTCTGATTCAGTGAATTCAGCAGACCGCTGCGCAAAATGGACACATGAATGAAAGAAAAACAACAGGATTCTCGGAGACTGAACGAGACATTTTAAAATCAGGAAATGACTTGAAGATGAGGCTAGCGCATCGCCCAGCTTTTACCGCAGATTGGCAGACAGTTTGAGTTTCCACACAGCATCCATGTGTGTGTGTGAGGTCCGGAGCACCAGAAAAGCCCAAATCATGTTTTCATGAAGCTCTTCCAGCTCTACGTCTCCTCTCAAGAAGGTGAGGAGGTATAAACAGACTGCACGCACAGAGACCGGCTAAACGTCGTGACCACGGAGTGGCAAAGACATCAATCCTCCAACTCAAAAGGCGCTTCCAGTGCAGACACAACTGTGATGAACTGTGTGAACTATGGTGCGTCAATGTCAACCGGGTTCATGACAAACTGACCCCCCCGACCCCCAAAACTGAAACAGCTCAAGACTGAATGACTGACTGACTGACTGACTGCCGGCTGGGGGACAACTCGACACCTGAAGAAACACTGCTCCCAACCATGGCGTATGGAAACCCCCCCCCTACCCCCGATTTCCCCTCGCTCTTATACAAAAACACTTAATATGAACACATTCACTTAGGTTTCATCCATACCGGCCTTTTGTTTACTTTACCTCAAAGTTCCAACTGTTCCAAAAAGTTACAAGATAAGATACAGTTCAGTACCTACTGTTGATTCAGATTTAACCCGTATGCATCATTAGGGACGGTTTGGACTTCTTAGTTTCTAGATGGTTTTATGCTCTGTCAAATTCATATGGCATACATTTAGCAAAGGGCGTAAACCCTGGTTTAACTTTGCACATCACAAAAATAAGTATAGTAACAGTAAGAATAACTAGCATCATGTGTGCCATTTAAAAAGGATTATATTTGGTAGTAATGATAAGGACAGATGTTAGTAAAATATTTAACTCTGTGACAGTGGAAAATAATCACATTTTATATATATATATATATATATATTTTTTTTTGCATTTTCCTCATCTTCAGTCTAGAGCATCGTGTTTAAAAATGGATGCACAAAGGTTCAAAATAATTTTAAAATACATCTTTCCAGCAAAGGCTAGTACCTGTGTTGCATTGGTTTGAAACATAAATCACATCCTGCACTCGCACAAACATAAATTGTTGAGGCAATAATACATTTTATCCCATGATATAAAAGTAGAACCCATATCAGATACTCATCAAGGTACCCAAACTCCCTCCCTCCCTCCCTCCCTGGGTGCCCCCTTGAGCAGAGCGACCTATGCCCCCCACCCTCTGACCTGGCTCTCGGAGGGTTTGTCGGGAGGGTCCTTGTGAATGGCCATCTGGTAGAGTTTGTACACCTGGTAGGAGGCGTCGAAAGAGGCTTTGAACTGCGGGCTAGGGGGATTGGAGCGCACTAGCCTCACCTTCAAGGAGAATACGGGCAGACAGAGGTTAACACCAAGATGGAAAGGAAGTACTGATAATAACATGAGTGCTAGAGATCGTCACAAATCAAAGAGACATAGTGTGTAGAGGGAGAATACACAAACACACCTCTCGCGCCGGGCGACACACATGGGATTGTTTTTAGCCATTTTACAAACAAAATGGGAACATTTCCCTTTTGAAAGTTTTGGTACTCGTCTTTAGTCAACGTCCTTGTTTTCACCAACAACCGCAGCGAGCTGAAGCCTGAACGATACAGAGAAGGTGTGTTTGATCCGTCTCCACACAGATACAGCAGGTGTCAATCAAAACAACAATATTGGAACTGGCCGTTGTAGAAAAGTCACGTTTACGTTGCAGCCTCCCCTCATAATGTGTATTGAGCCCATTTCCAGTGCTTCACCATGTCCTCTGAAACCAAATCTAGGGAGAAATTTGTTGCCCTTTAACATTTCCAGTATGTTCCATTTGGCGACTTATATGATAATATAATAAGGTATATCTAAGATAACGTCAGTACAGCAGCTGATATTGGCTTATTGCAGACTTACCGTATGGATGTGAAGTGCATCATAGGAATGCAAAGCCAGGTTTTGGGTTTCACCCGGTCAATCCACCCAAAGACCATTTATAAATCATGTTTTCAACAGTAAAACCTCCGTAATGTCTCTCAAAATAAAAGAAGCTTTTGTTGGCCACGGAGGCGCCGCCATGAGAATCCCCTGGACGGGCAGAGCAGTGATAGAACCTGGGGATTGTTTGAGTTGGACCCGAGTGGGTTTCGCTCACATGTCCACTCGGCCTCTACATCTTTAGCCAAACGGAGACGTTGGGCCTCTTACATAAAAGGACAATGCTGTGGTTCAGTCCTCCAGCTCGAAATCTAGAGATATATTTTGACAGGCTGAAATCATTTTCGGTGAAACAACACTGTGGCAGATCCATGGAAATTAAATATGAGCAATTCTCATAACAGACCTGAAACTGAAACACTAGCGGTCTGACACCGCCTAACGAACGCTCAACGAAAAACAAACAAAACACCACTGCCTTTTAACTTTAATTAAACTGGTTTATCATAATGTTGCTCTGAACGGGCACATTGAAGAATACCATCATAAAGTATTAAAACAGAGCAGCCAATGAAGCGCTGTGAGACCGTGGAGAAGAGTCCGGAGGGGAATGGTCGAGCTACACTAGTGGGAGATAACGGAGTCACACTGCCCCCTGGTGGTGGGGACTGAAGCAACAGCTGTTATTAAAAGAACTACGCCCAACTTCATACCCAATGTTCAAAAACATTACTAAACATGATCAACGCTCTCCCAAATCCAATAACCAGAGAGCTGACACTCATATTGGTGATGTCAGTACGTATTAATTGTGGAACTGCTTTTGTGAGAGAGTAGTACATGTTCACAAATAAGAAAAATAAATTGGATTTTAAATTTGTTCGCTTTTAAAGCCTTCAACTTAGCCAACAGAACAGGAGCCCGACGCTGCAGCAGATCCACTCAAATTGTCCTTTGGCCACAAATAGGGTGAAAATGGCACATGTAATAAATAAAAAGCTCAACGGGTCAAATAGGGGCATCTCTCAACTATTTAGCGAGCAAGACTTATAATTACCTTCATTTGCACAGGATGACCCTGTGTTCATGCCCACTTAGTCAAATGGAACCATAATTGCAGGAAAACAAATGAGTCCAATCGGGCCGGTCTGGACTCAGGAGGCACAAGGACAAGAGACAGACACCGTCTGGTTGCTCACTGCATCTGGCTCAGATCTCGGTGAAGACCAAGAATGACGCTACTCCACCAACCTCAGCTCGAGGCCTTCACCAGAGAACTTTCTGCTTTGTTCAGCCCCCCTCCCACCTCCTGCCAAAAGTTCATTTCCAGGTCGTCTGGTACCTGCGGTCTCAATGTCGTCAGCGGGGTAATGCGACCCAGTTGGTGTGGTGGGCCTGTCATTAGGGTTGCATTTTAAAACTGGGAAGAGGTGGTTTTTCCGCTCTGCTCGGGCCAGCCACCCTCTCTGCATACACAAACACATGGTGAAGTCACTGGAGCTGGGGAAGGGGGCACTGTGACGCCATATTTTCAGGCTAAGTGAATCCGAACATTATGGCGACAGAGAGCACGACACAAGACGCAATTTCCTAATGATAGCTGGAATCATCCCCAACAGGGTAATGTTTATTCCAAGTCACATTACAAGCAGAACGGAAAGCCCCCACTACATTTCAGCTCACCTCGAGGCGATGTGGGGAGTTGTCGGGCAATGACTCATTGATGAAATCTTCCAGGGGCTTGGGTTGCGTGGTCTGTGCCGGATTGGGTGGAGTTGGAGAGACAATGGAGGCGTCCCCTTCAGACTGCGGTCTGTTCTGCTCTTTCTGTAGACGTCGCTCCTTTCTCAAGTCTTTGGCCTTCCGACACGGCGGCCGGCCAGGATCAGCACCCATCCCTGCCCCCCCACACCACACAGAAGAGAGGACGGGAACCGTAAGACTCACATCTCATGGCATCTCACCGAATACTTTTCTTTAGTTTAACCCTGTAAGGGAGGAGGTCAAATAATTAAATGTATTCTAAAAGGGTAAAAATCCTGTGAAATATTTACTCCAATACCTCTTGATTAGAGAGAGAATTGTTTTTATAAAATCCTCAGGCATTTTATCGGTGGATACTTGTGACAGTCTTGACTGATTACACGCACGCATTGGTACAAGCGCGGTACATGACTGCAGACCTTGCGTCTGCTTCACTGCGCCCATGATCAGCTGAGCTTTATAAAAAAATATATATAATCTATGACCTACAAAAGGGTTAGCCAGTGGCAGCTAGCGGGTGTTCTTTAAAAAGAAAATGCAGAAGCGTGAACCATAATGAATCCGAAAGCGAAAACGTCCGACCAGATCAAAGCTAGCTGCAGATGAATGAGTCACTGTGCTCACCTTAAATAAAGGCTGCTGCTAGCGGAACACACTTTCTCTCTGGGCATCCCATGTCAACAGTTTACACGCCTACGTCCTGTTTGGAGCAATAAGGAAATGAGAGCTGTTTCCTCCTTGTCCCATTGCCAACAATAGGCTGCCATCAGCTGTGTCGAGAGAGGAACGTCTGGTCAGGACGGGGAGGGGGGGGGGGGGGTGTCTCTGGCCACTGGCCATGTGTTACTTTCAGCATTCAGCTTCAGCTCGATCACACTCCTCGGTGCAGCGTGAACAGCAGGAAGCATGTGCAGATTCGGCCTTATGTCATGACTTAGCTTCTTTTGATGCAAGTAAATGTCAATCTGTGATGCTAGTTTTTTATGTTCTTTAGGGTTATGGCATTTATTTTGCTTGTATTGTAATTGCCTTTAGTAATTCAGATGTTAATTATTAAAGTGCTGTGAATAAAATCTATTATAGGAAATTACCAGCCTCAGGTCACTGTCTGCTGTATTGGTAACTGACCTGAGGCACTAAAAGAGGTTTGTATTTGGAAGCAAACCTCTGATATAACGCGTACAGCTCTGGGAGTCATGGAGGGGGTCGGAGGTTCTTCCCCTCAGGAGAGACACAACAAAGTCTGCACTGTGTCCTTCACGCACTCTGTCCACGTGCCTCTCCTCCCTCCTGCTGCTACGCTTTCTCCCCGGGTTCCTGCACAAACAGCCGCCGGTACTCCTGAGGACGGCGCACGCAGCCGCGGTCTGACGGATCAGTTCCGGTGGAGGACACGTACCCCCGCTGCTCTGAGAGCAGCCACTACAATATCAACATGGAGCCAAGCGGGGTCATGTGAGAGAAAGTGGACTCTGGGAAACTTCTGCCTACTTCAAGAAGGTGGAAAGTAATCCCGCTCCATTGTCACGACTAAGTGTGAGGTAAAGTATCTGTATCTACACTGACCCTTTACCCATCTATACTCTTTTTAGGTTTCTGCTGCTGTAATTGCCAAAAGCAGAGGGGTCATACATGCAAATACGACAGCACAGGCACTAGCCAATCAGATCGCGTCTATGCTCACGTCTAAAGAGCGCAAAGCTCAAAAATAAAAGATGGCGGACCAAAGTCCGTAGAATAGGGGTCCGTGCGCCATCTTGCCATCACCTCTGAAGTCACTTTGTAGCTAAAGTCATCTTAAATTGAAAAGATTTTGATCATCAATTATCATGAGCAAAAGAAGTCTGTTTAAAAAGGATTTCCGCTCACATTTCAGTACTGACCAGCTCCCTGAGCCTCACTGCTACTCTCCTAGAAAGTACCTCATTGCAAGACTACAGATGCAGGTATTAAAGTCTCACTGCTTGTGAATCCACAAAAAGCAGACCCAGGGAGAGCTTCTGCAAAAGCACCGCATTCCACACGTCCTTCTGTATCCGTTTACCTATGGCTCCGTGCACGCCGTATGGAAACGGGGAGCCGTGTTTTCTCAAGCTGGAACTGGAACCGTGCAACGCTTGGGTCATAAAAGTAGAGGAGACACATGTCCAGGTGCTTTCTGCTCGCAGTAACCGGGGGGGAAACCCTGATCCCACACAGTAAATCCTACCTGCTTCCTCTTCAGGCCTGTTATTTCTGACAGCGAGAGGACTGTGGCACCTTTGTGTGGGTGTGTGTACATACATACGCAGCTGGATCGACCTGTGCAAATACTGAGCTGCCTAATGATTAATGAGAGCGTTTTCATTAGACGTTTGACAGGGGAAAAGGGTGTGTGTGTGTGTGTGGGTGGGGGGGGATGAGGCCTGAAACTATTTCTGCGTCTTAGGAGTTTATTATCTCCTCACTTGGTTATTGTTAGTTCATGACTATGTGTTGGCTATGAGGATATCCTGTGCTGGAAGAGTAAGCAGGAGAAGCCGACACGCTGGTCCAAACACAGAGGAGTGTGTTGTGAGGAGACCAGGGGATACACTCTGGCAACAGACCAGCACCGCTGTGGCAGTTCAGCTTATGGCTGTGGTCAAATGTCAGCTACCGTGGCCACTTAAAAGATGTCCCACCTGCAGTTTTCAAAAGAATATCAGATGTCCTAAACAAACGTAACAGAAAACAGCAGCAAACAGCTGTTTGAGCAGTGCAGCAGGACGTAAAAGCAGATCACCCATCAGCATTCTTTGTGTGTGAACTACATTCCCCACTCCACTTGCATATGGTGCATCAATAACTGATGAGCGGCTACTAAAACACTCCGAACCAAAAAACAAAAATATTTCTACTAATTATCAAATTTGAGTGACAAGTGTAACCAGCTAATTGGGAGTGGGATTTCTCACCTGCTCTGGGAGCCCCGGCTGTCGCTCGCTCACCCGCAACGGACTCTGGATCTTTTCTTGGGGTCACAGAGTCGGCCGGGGCGCCGTCTCCCGCCTCCTTCCGAGCTTCCGTGGCGGCGGGACACTCCGGCAGCTCCTTCTGAATGTCGGTTATGGCGGCACGCTGCACTTGGGAGGGGCAGGCGTTGCTTGGTTCGCGCGGACCTGCTTGGTCACACACGGAGTCCATCGGCTCCCCTGCAAGGCACAAAATGAGACACCCCCCAAAATGTGAACTACTTAGCGAAATGGTCCAAACTGATCCCTGCTTTTTCAGAGTTCCAGTACAATCACTAATCTTCTAAGACGAAAGACAAAAATAAATACGCTCACCCTCAGCCGGTCCTTTCGGTAATTCCCCTTTGGAAATGAATTTGCTAATCTTTTTCAGGACTTTCTTGTGCGACTTGGAAGGCTGGAATTTCAGTGCATGACATCTTGAAGAGAGCATTAAAGTATTATTACAAACATGTGTGTGTGTATGTATTTCTGTTGTTATACAAATATCTAATATTATGGGTCATCCTCATGTGTTCCACGTTATTCTTGTCCGCTGTAAAGTTAACTGAATCATATGGGAACAAGTACCTGATGGTGTACTGTGGACAGCAGGTCTTGTTCATTTTGGGCTTATAGACGTATTTCCCACTTCTGAAAAAGAAAAAGAACAGACGGACTTGACTAAATACACAGATATTGAAATATCCCAAACTCAAAAGGCGAGCAGGATTCCACAGAGTCCTCACCTTCTCCACCCTCGGTCTATGAGGTCCTGGTAGTCTTGTACAGTCATGGTGTGAGACCACATCCCTGAAAGAAACCAAAGGAACATTAAACATTTAATTGATCTCACGTGATACATTTCATACATCCGTTGGGGTCGCTGCTTCATCAGCAACCCGAACACGCAGCCACGGTAAAAAATAATAGCCGCCGTGATAAAAGCGGTTTTAATTCTCTAAAATCTGAAACCCTCGGTTTCATGTTTAACTATATTGGGCGAGTCTTAAAAGTCTGGCGGATAAACACGACGGGGTGACACTTGAAATGTGTAGAGAGAGACAAGCGCATGTCATTCGGAGAGAATACGTTTCACCAAGAAAACTTGGAAAGAAGCTTTAATGCTTCGGAACCACTGGACCTTCCTTTATCAAAGGAAAGGAGATCATTCCGTCCCACAATTCCTTGCTGCAGCAATGTTTAGAGTTTTTAGGAAGGTCATTTTGGTTAGGAGGTCATTTTTTTCCTATTAAAATCTATTGGAATGGATAAAAGAGACAGTTAGCCTTAAATATGAGACATGTATGCAAGTGAGGAGTGGTTTGTCAACAGAGTATAGTGGGGGGGGGCGAGGTTCAGGTTTTTGCTTCATAGCGACCCCTAAAAGATTCCCACAGTCCCCCAAGGCGTGTCCACAGCGATCCCGTTTCCCACAGCCGAGTCCTGGCCTCCCCGCTTTCAACTCCTGCCCTTCTCCTCCCCCTCATATACACTTTGCACACGCACACAAAAACAGACACGACCCTTCTCAGCCTACATCAACAGCCACCGAGGGAACTCCGTGTAGAACAGATCTCACACACACACACACACACACACACACACACACACACACACACACACACACACACACACACACACACACACACACACACAGAGGCTGAGCGCAATGTCCCATGTCCCAAGAGACACAACAATGACACGGGAAAGGACTGGAGACACAGCAGCAACACTAAAGACTCGTGTTAAATCGTGTTCAGTATCGCCCAGTGACGTGAACAGCGTGTGAGTCGCTCACTGGCATTAAAACGGAACACAAACATCAAATGCATGACAACTCTTCTTGAAAGGTTCCATAATAGATGGGGTTAGATTCTCATGACAAAGCAGTAAAGCGGCCATATTAATGAGAGTAAGAACCAACAATTTTAGTTTTCCGTTTTAGAAAGCATTGAGAATGCTTCCTGAAAAAGAAAATCTGGCATATTTAAAACTGTACACATCAAGTGATCATCGCCATCTCAAAAACGTTTAAGAGCGAGTGAATCTGGAGAGCAGGGAAGGGCCAAACAAATGACACAAAGGCACCAAAACCCTGTCCAGGAAAAGGCGTGATAACTAGTCCGGCAGAAGGTCACACGTTGACCAAGCTTGCAGAGCATCATGTCCCGTGAGCTCCAAGAGCCGCTGCTTTCCCAACGACACAGGCGGGCCTGTCCACTGTTCACACCTGCTCCCCTTTTCAGCCTCCCCTGAGGCGCCACAGACACAGAGGGGCGCAGATGTTTATTGTGGGGTGGCGTCGTTGATAACATCAGTGCACCAATGACGCAGAGGCGAGCACTATCGCACCGAGCACCTGCTTGGAAAACTGATTGTGTCGTTGACAATATTTGTGTTGATCTAATGTGGCATGTCCTCCCAGCAGCGTGGTGAGAATATAACACGACAAGGAGATTGACAACCCTTTTCAACCTTTGCATCATGAATATATTTAACTGGACCTGATTTTCTAGCATTGTAAGTCTTCTGCTTCTACTTAGTCTCAACAGCGTCAATGACCACTGTGGAGAAACACACAGGAAGTGCGATCTCTCCTCGTCCCGACATCCTGCCATTCCCTCGCCATGCACCGTATCCAGATTACCACTCTTATCTTAGATTAGTCTCGTCTGCCGGCCGTGAGCCCAACCGCTCATTGACTTGCATTAGGAACTGCCTCCACCCTAATTATAGTCAACCTGTCTCGCCCCTGTTCACTCCCTCTGAATTCAGCCCAACAGAGAAAATCCTTTCCTATCTTCTTACACAACTTCTTATATAGCCTGGACTCAGAACTTCTAAAATGCACAGTTACGTGCACCTTTGCAGCAGTTATATGAACACAGCGCATAGTATGGCTTATTTCAGCACCTCACCGATAAATTATGTATCATGTCTGTAATCACTGATTGCCACATGATAAACATAGTGTTTTTACTTAACGTTTTGTGGCTGTTTTAGTCTAACATACACATGCACAAATAAATATTTGCACACACGTATTTCACTTCAATTGCAATTAGGCATTTTAAATGGTGCCGTAAAATATGGTGGCCCAACAATGACGATAAGACATTGGGAGAATTAGTAGGAAACATCAGAATTAGATCCTCGATCCACCGGCTGTTTTGTGTGGTTACATTATGAATTTAAAAAAAAACAGTGACAGTGTTTATTCGGAAGTGAGCCCAGGCCACTGATCACAGCTGGATCTGGGAGGAAGGAGCTCCTGCAGCTGGATAAAGACGTTGGTCTTTTAAACGTAAAACAACATTGACCATTAGGTCATCGGTCGTGGAGCGATGCTAACATCTCCAATGAGACCATCACGGTGACAGAGATCAGACGTGGTGGTCAATAAGAGCACGTTGCCCTCACACGGTAAACCGGGGGCACCGGAAAGAACGGGAAGTCACGTGAATGCCTCCAGCGTGACAGAGCAGGTGAAGCCGGCTGAGCGACAGCCTCGGTCTGCTTGGCTGGTCAGCTAGCGCAATGCTAACGTGTTAGTTAGCAAGCCTTCTGCTACGGTAGAAGAAGCACAGCGCTCGACTGGAGTGAACATTAATCTCAAACTGTACTGCTTCAACAAACACCATCAATACCAAATTCAATTACCTCACCCCAGTGTACTTAATGACAGTCTAGTGTGTTGTTTCCTCGCAATAAAAGAGTTTGGGTGCAAGATGCTAACAGTTAATTCCAACATTGAACTGCCAAAGTAGCGAAAGTGTGCCCTGAGCTTGATGTAATGCACCGGTCTTGCTGAGCGTTAAATACAGCTATTTTACCACAACTCACTCTTATGAATTGACAATAGGGTAAAGGTTTGCTCCTTTCTCTAAATTGGAAAGTAAGCGGAGCTAGGTCGTTAGCACCAGTTAGCCTCATTTTTAAGCTAACAACGAGAGACTCTTACCGTGAGAAAAGTTGCCTTCATCATTTTTACAGTAACCACACCGGTAACCGCTGTCCCCGCCGAAATATTCAACTATAGTGTAAGACTTGTTTCCTGCCATCTTTAACATCGACTGAAGTGACAGCTAAATTTGGCTGCAGCAGGCAAGGCTGAAGTACTGTGGATATAAAAACAAAAAAAAACACGCCCCTAGAAAATACGTCATCAGTGCTGCGTTGAGGAAAAGTGGGAGCTTTGACTGAATTTCATTACCAGCGTTGTAACGTTGGGCCAAACAAGACATGTTTGTTTTGTTATTTTAATTATAAGTACTGAATAATCCAGAACGACACGCGTCAATGAAAAAAGATGTTTCGAGATACTGTTGTATATTTTAGGTCGGTTTCTTCACATTATCACATGCGACTGCAGTAGTTCCCACAACCACCAGAGGGGGTGGACAGTAGGAGACACATGTTAGTGCTTTTTGTTATGTCATTGTCCATAATAGTTAGAAACACCTTTGGAAGTGCACGCAATCTGACAATTGTAAAAGATATAAATGGCGAAGTTGAAGTGATTGGATTGGCATTCATAGCAAACAACCGTACTTATTTTCTAGATAATGTGCAATATTTGTGGGCGCTTGTATCAGGAATTAGGAATCAGGAACATTAATTACCAAAATATGAAGAAACTGTTTGTGTGGCGGGAGGTCTGGGTCCTGATGGACCTCAGTCTCTTACCAGATGGAACAGTTTTTGTCCAGGGTGAGAAGGGCCGGCAACAATCTTTTTAGCCCGCTTCAGGATCCTGGAAGCGAACAAGTCCTGGAGTAATAATGTTGGTTATAGCTCAACTAATTTTAAAATGTTGTTGCAAAAATTCTTAAAAGAAATTCAACTTGAGCATAAAAGAACGCGTTCAGGTACTAGAACTCTTATACTCCACAAAAAACATTGTAGTTCCCTTTTTCCTCTTGCTATGGTTGTGCAATTTCCATTGAGCTGTAAGACATGGGGTATAGGGTACTACGTATGGGGTCAAATGCACACATTAGTGGATCTACTCCGTAAAACCCACACACAAATGTGAAGCCATCCACAAACAAATATAAATAATATGATTTATGTGGGCGTTGGAATATATTTGTAAATCAAATAGAACTGCTCGGTGCACATTTATGAATTTGCTGTTTGTATTTGTGAGTCATTCGGTGCGCATATGCAATTACTGAGACTGATCTGACCCCATACTTATATTTCACTGAAAAACAAGGCCAAGTAAAAGATGGCAAATGCAAAAAAATAAAAATGTTTGCATTAGAAATAATTTAAAACAGATTACAGTTTGCAAATAACACATTTATTAAATCATCTGTGCAAAGACAGCCTAATATATATTGAACCAAGAGCCTGCACAAACAGAAAATTCCAAAAAGGCCAAGGGGTATCCATGTAGAAAAATAAGTTACAATATCATAGTCAAGTCAATTATCTTTTTTTTGTACTCCTATAAAAAAACAGAAAAAACAAACCCTTAAAGAGCAAAGATAAGTCTCTGTTTACTTTACATTTTAAACAGATTATGTTCTTTTTCTTTTTTACCATAATACTCTGTTATGTAACAATCACTCATCTTCTCTGGGGCTTGGTATTTATCTTATAAGCTGTCCAGTAAAAGTAGCATCTGTTCTGCATGCAGGTTTTCTGCACCAAAATAGTGGATTCATACAGTTGAAGAACAGCAGCACTTTACAGAAGTTGAAGTGCTACTAATAATCCAAAACCTCCTCCTGAAAACTGGGTACTTAAGTTGCTTCCTGTTGATGGCTCTTTGGTTGGGCCCCTAACTAAAGCCCCCCTGGGGGATGGGGATGTTTTCATGAAGGTATTTCATGCTCCCTTGCTCAGAGAAGTCAGCCACAGTGTGTCCTTCTCCTCGAAGGACCCATTTAGTGGTCAGAAGCCCCTCCAACCCCACGGGACCTCTGGCATGTATCCGTGCTGTACTGATACCGACCTCAGCTCCTGCAAGACAACGACACAAAATTAGCTCTTCTGCTCAGTTTTCAAACCAGTGGTAGGTGTGGTGAGTCACCTGAGGCCCGCAATCGGGCACCATGTCAACCGGCCGAACCCCAATCTCGGGTTGAGCGCCGGCAGCTGGTGCCACTTAACCCAACCCCATTTAAGCGGCAGGTTTACACCAAACCAGGAGGGCGAGAGACGTGTTCTAGCCCTTCTTATTTTGTCTTCAGAGACCAGCGTCTGATGCTCAGCCCGCACGGCGCGGAAACCCGGGTTCGTGTTGACCCCACGGCCCACCCGACGACAGACCACAAGAGGAGCACTACCGTTCTCCTGCATGTGTTGGACACCACTTTGCTTGGTATTTTAAACAAATAATCAAGAAACCCCCGTCGGGGGGACTAATTACATTCTCCGTGTTGTAGCGTCCCGACTCCTCCCGTGACACAGGTTAGATCCATTTACAAAAAGGATGCAAACTCATGAAGAATTCAAAACTACAGTGCATACCTAGGCCAAAACGGTAGCCGTCAGCAAAGCGAGAGCTGGAATTCCAGAACACACAGGCGCTGTCCACCTGCTGCAGGAACTGCTCGGCCTTCTCTTCGCTCTCAGTAACAATGACGTCTGTGTGAGAGCTGCCGTATTTGTGGATGTGGTCCACGGCGTCCTGCATGCTGTCCACCACCTCAATGCAGCACTCCAGGTCCCCATACTCAGTCCTCAGAGACTTCACCTCGGACGGGCTGAAGGTTAAATGAGAGGCAAACCGGGGGCCTGCGTGGATCTTCACCTGAGAGAAGGCAATGGCACAGTGATTGGAATGAACAGAATAACTAAAACATCTAATAGGCCTAAATGTAGCACCAAACGCCTTCTCCAAAAAGTTTGTTCACATGACACGTATATACGTCTTGATGAAGGGTTCTTACGTGCTCGGTCCTCAGCATGTCAATGATCTGGTCGAATATGGGAGTTCGCAACAAGTCCCTGTGAATAAGGAGGGTCTCCATGGCATTGCAGGCCGCGGGGTAGTCACACTTTGAGTCTCTGACTGCAATGAAACACAAGTTAGTACCTGTATATCCAGCAGTTCTGTGTTACACCAGCAAGTTAACAACTCTTGAGCAACATTTAAAATAATGACAACTTTCCTAACCCGAGGAATAAAATGATTTCAGAAATGAAAACACCTTCACAGAAAGCACATACCGATGTCTATAGCTTTGTCTATGCTGGCGTCATTGTCTATGTAGACGTGACAGATGCCCTCGCTGTGGCCCAGAACAGGAATGCCCTTGGCCGCCCTCTGGATTTCCCTAACGAGCTGGGACGAGCCCCTTGGGATGATCAGGTCGATCAACTTGTCCAGTCGGCACAGATCCTCCACTTCTTCACGTGTGCTCACCTACACATCAGGGAACATGTTACAATGTCACCAAATCATGTGAAAACTGGGTTTCAGTAACGCAGTGTTTTCAGTGTTACCAGTTGAATGGCATCTGCCACTCCGTGAATGGAAAGCGCTTCTTGAGCGAGTTGATGTAGAATTCTATTGGTGTTGGAAGCTTCTTTACCCCCCTTCAGTAGCAAAGCATTTCCACTGGCAATAGCCAGAGCCGACACCTGAAACACAGATATGTCAAAAGAGGTCTTTCAATGACAGAGATGTTGTCGTCTTTAGACCAGAGGGTCTGTATTTACACAACAACGCGAACCTCATTATACATTTCAAAAGTTTAACACAAAAAGGTGTTCACAAGCTTAAACGTTTTTCAAGCTGAAAGATTTTGCAGACATGATCAATTTGTTTCAGCCATTGCACCATGAATAACATTATCAACCAATCACGTGGTGAAGAATGGCCCTATTCAAAACATTGAGTATAGAGACTCTGTAGTCTGAACGAAAGCAAACGTTATTGCTTCTTTCAGCATGGACAATAAGGAAGCGCTGCCCAGATTCACATCCACGCTTACCTTTCACAATAAAAGCTGTAGACATGATCCCTGGTTTACTGACCTGCGGGAGACAATCAGGACGCGACTCAAAGATGACCAGCAGGACACCGATTGGCACAGTGATCTGTTCCAGCTCCAGGTTGTTGGCCACCCTGGTCCTCCTCAGCACCCGACCCACGCTGTCCCTGGAAGACACGGCAAGCTGGCGGAGGCCAATAGCCAGGCTGTTCAGCTTAGATGTGGACAGACTCAGGCGGTCGATCAGAGGCTGGGAGAGACGACCTATCAACGGGTAAAGAACAAGGACAATGCAGGAGTCTGAAGATCCACGGAGGGCAACCAGAGACTGAGAACTCTGCTGACCCGGTTAAAGAATTACCTCCCTTCCTGCATTCACAAGCCTCCTACGGACAACCCAGAGCAGGGCAACATTCTACCAAACACCGACAACCAGATAACGCAAGCCTCCTTCATAAGCCGCTGTCCCTTAGTAGACAGATGGAGACCCACTGGCAGAATGTGGGAGTCAGATAATTGCATGAGCCAGTGGCTCAGGGTGATCCGCGTTTCTTCCCTGGGTCTTTGTACCTGACGTTGTTGCTAACTCCATGTCTCTCTTGTTGGCACTAAGGATCTCATCTTTCTTCTCTGTAAGCAGGTCAGCAAGAGAGCAGATGATCTCCCCTCTCTGGAAAACACACACGCACAGTATAATGATGAATTATCCAAGAGATGAATTATGTGTCTTGTCATATCAAATCTGATTTAGCAAATCAGCAGTAAATCTGTGCCATTCCATCCTCTTGACATACGTAAACATTTTAATATCGGACCGTACTGAGGGAGCGAGAACCTCACCTGTTCAGGGTCCAAGGAGGCCAGAGCCCTGCCTGCATGCCGGGCCATCTCCGTCTGCTGCTCCACAGTCGGACCTGTAGGTGTTAAAAGATACACGCATCAAATGCAAAACCACAACAAGTGAAGAAAAGAAAAACTCTTTCCACGTGGACTTGGCCAATACCTGCAGGTTTCACCTCCGAGAAGAAGGTGCCGACTTTCTTCCCCTCCACAATGTCCGTGATGACGTGGCCCGTGACTTTAGGATGCGTGCCGTTGGCGATGACGACAGACGTGCCACCCTGCAGAGCCCAGAGGGCTGCTTTCACCTGATTCAGAAGACACCCCGACTGAGTACGATGCAACTTCTTACTCGGTCCTGTTTACACTCCCAGATGACACATTGGCGGTTGCGCTGACCTTTGCTTCCATGCCGCCAATGCCGACTCTGGACTTGCTGCCGTACGTGATTGACTGCTGGTCTCCAGGATAGAAGATGTCAATGAGCTTGGCATCATCTGTTCCTGGGGGACGGTCGTATAAGCCTGCAGAAAGGTTTGGATATTTTTTATATTTTTAATACTACACAGAACCAAAGCAGTAACACCAATATCGATTGAACAAGAGGCCAGACGATAAAGAAAAAGTTTCTACCAACACATAATTCACTTACGGAAGATGTTGATTCCTAAAAGCAATGCAGTGACAATAGATTATCGCTAAAATTATAAACTCTGAGGATTTTGATTCCTGATAATCTTTTTAAAATACACCAGTATTGCACTAAATTGGAGGACACCAAAAACAGCAGCTGATGTTGACAAATACTGACATTATGTCTATAGGAAAAGCTGAAAAGGAAATCACTGCTCCATATATTCTCTATGATGTCCAGTGACTCAGTAGCATCCTTCATTATCCCGGCTTTCCATTTCTTTGATTCCCCACCTCAAATTTGAAGCACCTGCTTTCTGTTAACAAGTTTACGTGGCAAGAACTCTGTTAAAGTCACTTCAGAGCCACAGACATTGTGTTTTCACAGGTTGGGTAGTATTCCTCACCACGAGTCAAATTAACATGGCTGTCTGTCTTGGGAGTCTGTGGCTCAAGTCATTTTTATTACAATAAAATTAATTGTTATTGCCTTGCTTCACATCATTGTAAACATGGTGGATAAGAAAAGTCAACAATAATACCTTCTACATCCGACAGGGCAATTAGGAGGTCCGCCTTCATTTCAACAGCTAACCGTGCAGCCAGGCTGTCATTATCTTTGACGCTTATTACCTGAAATAAAAATGGAAATGTCATTTAGCAAAAAAAAAAAAACCTGGATCTCACAGTAGATTGTAGAATAATCTGCTGCTCCCAAGCAACAAAAGCCTCTGGGTCCCATTAGTTTACTAAATCAACAAGACATGTTCCCCCCCTCTGCAAGAGGCGATAACACAAGCGTGTCTGTGCAAAAATATAACAAACCACCACAGCTGGTGGTCAACATTCAAAGCAGCCTTTACAATGACAGACAACAATGTGTCCAAAAAGTTAAATGTCAGCGACTGTGGTCATTTATGCATCAATTAAGGAATCCATCATCACAATTCTGGACCACGCTCAGAATTCCCAGCATGCCCTACACACAATACCTACATTTCCTCCCTGCAGGTCACTGTTGGGAACAGGGGGCGGAACGACGGCGTCGTTGGTGTTGATGATGGGAACGATGTTCATTCGCAGCAGCTCATGGAGAGTGCTGTTCAGGTTGCGACGCTTCTGCTCATCATAAAAGTCCAGGTTGGTGACCAGAATCTGCAGAAGTGGGAAAAAAATATTAAGAGAATTAAGTGGGTTCAACTCTGTCAGCATTTTACTCTCTGACTCGACAGTCGAGTGCCTACTTGTGCCGTGCAGGTGCTGTATTGGGTGAACATGGCCTCGTACAACGCCATCAGGCCGCTCTGTCCAGCAGCTGCGCATGCCCTTGCCTCTAAAACCGGAACGGACTAAAAAACAGGAAATACAGTAAAATTTAACAAAATTAAATAATATAATCAAATACTTAAACGTTTCTCTACAAGGGGACTTCCAGTCCCAGGGTTCAGGGTTACGACTCACCATTTCTTTGAGCTGGTTCTGCCCAGAATGTAAGGCCTGTCGGACGCTCTGAGACAGCAGGATCTCGTGCCTCAGCCGCTGCTTCCCAAAGGCCACGGCGCCACTGGTGACGATCATCATTTCCCTCCCTTGATTCTGCAGCATGGCCACCTGACAGAACGGACGGTTATGGTCACAGTGTCCCATCTGGTCTGTACCAACAACATGACCGTGGCGTTACCTGCTCTACTATTGAGGCCAGTCGCCCCAGCGCCAGACCACACTCATCCCGCGTCACCACAGCACTGCCCAGCTTCACGACAATGCGCTTGGCCTTCTTTAACTCGCTGCGGTGGGCCAAAGACTTCCCATGGGGACGTGGGACTGCAGAGAATAATAAACACACCTTAATTCACACATCGGCAAAGACATGAATTTCATGTTGTCTCCTTCGGGTAGGAGGAGGAAGACGGCTGGTTACTTACATTTAGACTGGGCAAACGCTCTGATGGAGACCGGACAGACATTTGACTGCCGGATTCTGGATGGCGAGCGGGAGCACAAGGCCAGTCTGGCAAGCATGGCTCTTATAGCTGAGGACAGCTGCTGTAAAATCACAAACCCATGTCAACAAGTGCAACAACCTCATCCAAACGTTCAGATACGGTATCTCCACACTACTGTAAAGAGGATCACAAACACAAGACAAATGAGTGCATTTTATCTCACATTATGTGCCATGATGTCATTATCAGGCTATTTAAACTGGACACACTGAGTTATAAGTTAGAGGTTAGTGGCTTAAAGACATATTTGCTCACAGCTCAAATAGTTCCAGGATGTAGGTCCTGCTCATTTATATGAGCTTTAACATATTTACACATATGAAGCTATTGGAGTCTTTAAAGCTAACACGCTTTAGCCGCTATTGTCTGTCAAAAAGGGACCCGGGGCTAGCTGACGTTAGCTCGCATTCGCTAAAACAATGGAGCTCGGCGGCTATTTGGGACCGAGCGGACGGACTAAATGTGGCAGAGAGTGAGTCCTCACCTCGCAGCGTGAAGGACCGGAAAGCAGAGCCCAAACACTGGCAGCGCGGCGCGGAGAGACACGTAGTCACCGGGCTCCACCGACCACGTCCACTGCACACGTTGGTCGGGTTTGCGCCGGAACTGTGCGATGCGCGAAGGAAAGGTACGTAGGAAATCGGCACGTGTTAATGCTTCATCCGACGTTCACGTAGGGAGACGGATGCGCTGTTTACGTAGGCAGAAGCGCTTTTGATGGGGGGCGGAGACTTGCGTCGCCGTGGGAGGGAGAAAGAAAACGCGTCATAGATGTTGACAGACAAGGACCACTCTAATTTAAAGCATACAGTGGAATACGTGCAGAAATTATTGTTTTACATGAGATGCTCTACCGGTTAATGAAGATATTGATTTTCTTATTGCCTTAAACACAATTGTGCTCTAATAAAAATAAGAAGAAGTGATGTTTTGCTTATAAAGGAGCCGATGTTATCGATTAATTTAAAAAAAGGTGAGAAAAAAAGTGTCGATCTAAACACCTATATACTGCGACTGTTTTAATTAACTGTCCCTCAATAATCAAGTCAAGGTTTACTTATCTTGACTCATACCATGATGACCTTGAAATGATGTTGGAAGCTCCTGAAAAATCAAAAACCTGAAGTTCAGATTATTATTACTGAGAAGTCAATATTTTTTTTGTAATACTGAAATGAATAGGTGTAATGTGATTCCTTTTAAATAGTGCTCTATTTAACAAAACATAATTTAATTCACTTAATTTGTTTTTTGGAAATGTGCCATTCAGTTGCTTAAATCAACTTGTGGAAAATATCATCTCATCTTTTGGTAACACGACACGGAGGCACATGAGTGGCGTGTGCATGTTGACAGAGGCCTGTGAAACATTCATGAGCAGAAAGGCCAGCACTACAGTGCACACTGAGCTGCCGTTTCAGGTGCATGCAGAGCCATGGGGACGGTCAAGAAAACTTTGAAGTGTCCCGTTTGCCAGGATTTTTTCACGGATCCTGTGACCCTGCCTTGCGGACACCACTTCTGTCTCACCTGCATCCAGGCCGTCTGGGAAACCGATGGGTCGGAAGACGGTCCGTTCTTCTGTCCAGAGTGTCAAATATTCTTACCCGCTGATCTCAAACTGGAAGTGAACACCAGCCTTCAGATCAAAGTAAAGGACGTGGCAGAGACAACAGAGCTGTGGACACCAACCACGAGCAGAGCCACAGAATCAGCCTCAACTATCCACTGTGACCACTGCATAGACACACCTTCGGTGGCCATAAGGACCTGCCTGACCTGTGACGCCTCGCTGTGCCGTGCTCACGCCCTGCTGCACCAGCAGAGGTCTGCTCTGAGGGAGCACACTGTTGTGGAAGTGACGGGAGACCTGCTGTCTCTCAAGTGCAAGGAGCACCGTGAAGAGCTCAAGCTCTTCTGTATGGAGGAGAGGGTCCCTGTGTGTTGTCTGTGTGTCCTGGTTGGCATGCACAAGAACCACAATGCATTGCAACTGCGTGAGGCCTGTGCAGACTTTAGGGTGAACATGAGCACTATTTAATCATTGACATTTCTATTTTCTTGCAAATTGTATTGCTTCATCCCTGTGTCAGGATTTTCTTGTTTCATAAACCTTTTGCTTTTCTGTATTTAGAGCATGTTAGAGACCACCATGAACCAGATGCTGAAGAGGAGAAATGAAGCAGAACACGCCATAAGGGACTTGGAGTCATTGTATACACAAACAGTGGTACCTCCTTCAACCATTTAATTGTTGTATTTGCAGATTCCCCTCTTATATGTACCATTGTATGTATAACATATTTTATTTCCTATAGAAGTCTGCTGCCAATTTCAGGGAGAGAATCTCAGACAAGTACAGCCGCATTCGCGTTGTACTGGATGGTGATGAGCGTCTGATGATGCAGATCATAGACGCAGAGGAGACGCACATGACAGAGTGGCTGGAGGCCCAGAGGGGCAACATGGAGGCTCAGATCAAAGAGATCGACAGCCTCAGAGCCTCCAGAAAATCACTCCTCAAAGAAGAAATTGAGCTGCGATTCCTACAGGTAGGTTAGCTATTATTCTGATGACGGTGTGTCATTGTGGTCATGTGAAAGTACAAATGCATCTAAAATATTGAACGTACCTGTTTATTCATTTCATATTCTAACAGCAAATCACCGCACAGAACCTTTGGTGAGTGCTCTGCTTTTTCTATCCTAACTGCTAATTTTTGGTGTGATTTTTTTTTAACATTGAAGTTTGTATCGTAGCGACCCTTTGGATTTAGCACCAATCCAGGAGGTAGACAAAGACCTGTGTGACCTGGAGAAGCTGAGAACGGCCGAGAGGCTGGTGGATGACCTCTCGGGGGCTCTTTCTCAACACTTCCCACGCACGTGGTCATGTTAGTATCCTATGATTCTTGAGGAATCTCTTCCCTATCTCTAGTTGTGTTCTGAATGTCGATTCGTATTTGCAGATCTAAGTTCACCTGCTCTGGACTCCAAGTCAGCCCATCCAAACCTGCAAATATCGCCGGACAGGAAACAAGTGTACTGGAGAAAGCAGCCTGTCGGTGAAGCTCTGAGACCTCAGCTAAACGACTTCCAGTACAGCGTCCTCGCTGAGGACAGTTTCACTGCTGGCAGTCCCTACTGGGAGGTCATTGTACAGGAGAAACCTTACTGGCTAGTGGGTCTGACCACTGGGCCAGTTGGCAAAGGAGAGCCACCAAGTGAGAGCTGCTCCAGCCTGGGTGTGAACAACACATCGTGGTGCATTTACCACGGAGATGGACAGTACCTGGCATGCCATGGCACAGAGGAGAAGCAGCTGTCAGTGGGGAAGAAAGTCCGAAAGCTGGGCATTATGGCGAACCTCCAGAAGGGAGAGCTGGCCTTCTACGACGCAGATGCCATGACCCTGCTCCACTCTTGTTGTGTGCAGTGCACCCTGCCTCTGTACCCCATGTTAAACCCATGCATTGATGTGAATGGACGAAACACACAGCCGCTCACCATGTTTTGGATTAAAGACCCCTGGGATTGGCATGTGAACGCAGAAGGTGTCAAAAAGTGAACTTTGAGGAAAGCTTGACTGTGCTGTGAAAAAAGATTGAAGCCTCGCTGATGAAGCTCTGTATTTGGACTTGTTCCCGTGTTTATTTTGTTTGTTAATTCAAATGAATTCTCAAACATACCGGACTTCCCCTGGCTGAATCCGTCCCAGGAAGAATGACAATGATGGTAGTCGTCTCATCGCGCCGATGAGACGATCATTACGTACAGACAAGAAACACGGAAATTCATCATTCAATCAAGAAACCAGAAATAACAGGTGGACATATTGTACATGGTTGTTGTGCATTTTACATCACTCAGTGTTTCTGACCCTCGAGCTGCATTCATGTAGTCTGCACTGATTAGCTGCAAATGCATTTTCCTCCAAACAGAGAAAAGCGGGATTGATGTTACTTTCACATGTTCTGCTGTACTGTATGTTGGCTTTGCTTGTAAACAAATGAGAAAAAACACTTATTTTTTTCATTGGTTTAAAATAACTTGTGTATGTACTCCAGTATCGTACTTTAAATTCTACTTTCACTTGAATATTTACATTTTCTAGCACTATACTCTTGCTTCTTTTACTCTACAGCTTTACATTACATTACATTACATTACAGGTCATTTAGCAGACGCTTTTATCCAAAGCGACTTACATTACACAGCTTTAGTGACATATTAAGAGGAAAATTTGCTGTCAGATGTGCTGTATTTATTCAAATTAAAGAACTTTAAAGAGTTGTCTTTTCCTTTTGTCTACAAACATTTGAAGTAAAAGTAAAGAAAGAAAAGAAAAAAATAGCCACGATTTAAAACGGACCAGTAGTTTATGGTGGTGAATGTCTAGATGTAACCTTTAAACAGTTTAAATATTTACCATTATCACATATAGTCCCATTTTATCTGTAACCTTTCAACTTCTCAGCTTTCCGATTGTACAGTTGTGATATAAATGTCACTGCGGTACGAAATAGCAGCATTCAGCAACTGTCACTGGTTCATGATGTATCACAATATCTGTTTAATCTTGTGTGCAGGGAGGAGACGCTGCTTTACATCAGTGTTACATTATTACATTTCATTTAGCTGACGCTTTTATCCAAAGCGACTTACATTGCATTTTTAACCCATGGCTTTTTACATTTTTTCCCAGGGAGCAATTAGGGGTTTGGTGTCTTGCTCAGGGACACTTGAACATGGGACATGGAGCAACCGGGGCTCGAACCGGCAACACCCTCTCTACCCCTGCGCCACGTCAACCCCACCTCACTTTCCACTTTCTCTGGATGAAAATCGTTGACTTGCTATCATGATGCCACACGGATGAGATGAGATGGGGGATTGTGGCCCGTTTGGAGCAACAACAAAGGCCGTCATACTTAGTACGTGGTACTGCAGCTCAGACTCCAACACGTGTTGGCCAAAATGCATCAGTGAATAAAAAGCTTATGACGTTACAACACTGCCGTCGTGTGGAGGTTTTCGGGATAACACACATGGGTCGTCATTAATGTCACTCGTTTTCATAAATAAATTACAATATGCAGCTGGTGATCGAGTCGCTATCAGCGTATATAAGATCATATGTATATATTTATACAATTGCATGTATACAACTGCATATTAATCAAAATTTAAAAATGATAAAACCACCACATGTTAATTTAATATCAGGAAAGACAAATGAACTCAATGGAGGAAAACAGTTTTGCAGCAATGAAGTGAAAGAAGTTCAGGACTTTATTAATTGTGCAATATTTACATGATGTCGATGGAAGCACGCAGGGATTCAAGTGTATCCTCATGTCTTCTATCTTTCTACTCATCATTGGACATCTACAACAACAATAATTGAACTGGTGACATGTTTCATTCTTGGCTGATCCTGCATTCTTGTATGCAGTGTGTCAACACGGATTATCACACACACATTTATGGAAACACTTGTTGTACAAACGAACAAGTCCAAACATTGTACATGTACACAATGTACTACATTAAAACCGCCTCACGCACAGCGGTGAGTAAACGCCATGGCAACAGGACGGTGACGTTTCACTGAGGTCACCTGAACGCTGCTGGCCATTCTGAATTCACTTCTACTGTTGAACTTGACGAGTGTAGCTGTGTTACCTAAAGAGTTGAACGGTCTGAGGCCCAATCCCGTGGAAAATAACCTGTGGAGAATAAATTGTTGGAGAACCGACCAAAAGTACTAACGAGTGTTACGTGGAGGAGACGATGTCTTCCAGTGGACCCCCTGCGGTGGAGCCCCTGCTGAGCAGAGTCAGACGGTGGATCCTTGCCTTTGCAAGTAAGACATCTTTTCATCCCAAATGGGATTATTTATGTTCTTAAGAGATGAGTGGCTCACCTCAGTACAAAAACCGCACGTAATAACGTTAAATGTTGAATATTAAGAAATGGAATGTTCTGAATTTAAGCTAGCAAATTATGGAGAAACTGATTTGGGGCACATCTGGAGTTTCTTCCGTGTAAAATGGTAATTAAACGTCAAAAGTGTGTTTTTTATGGCAGGGACCGTGTGTAATGTGTCAACACATGTATAGGGATTCAAATGGTATTTTTTATTTTGCTTAAATGGATAATTTCGTCCAAATTTGTCTCGGAAATTGGGGAAACAAAATGGCGCCGACGGCACTTTCACCGAACGTTGGGAGATAAACAACTTTTTTTGTATAATCACAACAACGGAACTTCCAGAAGCGAACTTCAGAACGTTCAGGTTTAGACGAAAATCCATTTAATACCCGACTCAGGTATTCATTCAAGAGGCTAAGAGCCCGAAATAAAGATAAAGTAAACGTTAACGTTAGCTCCCTACAGCTAATGGACCGAACGTTAGCTTAGTTTACAACATGTTTCCGTGTGGATATTTTGGAGACCCGTGTTGTTAATGGCGCTGAATTAAAGGCAGTTACATACGCGGGTCTCTGCACATAAAACATTTTATTTATTCTATCAGAAACTAAAGGGAATATTGGAGGTAGTGTCACCTCTCACTGAATCAGTCAAATCCACCTGTTTCCACTCAGAATTATGATGAACGCAGCTTATAAACTATGAAGGAGAATAGTTTGTGCAGGTGCACACTGACCTTTTCCTTAATAAGTGCAGACTGTGGTCTCACATGGAAGTAACATTTTAATATGTGCTTCTGATTATTACTGATGTAACGTTAGTTCCTTTTTAAAACAGACTAAAACTCTTTTTTTTTCCTGAAGAGTCGTGCTCCAACACCCCCTCATTAATGTTTCAGAATGGTGCAAACCGTATTGAACATTTTTAGCAGTCAAATATGCTACAACAACTTGCAAAGCGAAACGTGTCGATGTGACGTGATTATTACACAGAGCACACATGGAGCTTCTTAATGTTTTAAATAGCCGTAACAGAACTGCACAGTATTGGGTATTTAAGACGGTAGCTTTGTGTTGGTTGTGAATGTAACTTTTTTTATGAATTTGTTCTACCCAGGTGAACCCCTCTGGCCCCTGTTCGCTGACCGCCCTGTCGTCCAGAGGGCCCTCGACGACGTGGTTCTTCCGGATTACGAGGACGAGCTGAAGGAGGCCGAGCCCACCAGAGGGGACGGTGAGCCACAGGTTCCTCCTCCTCCTCCCTTTGCTGCTCCCTACCCTGCTCCCTACTCTCACCCCTATGCTGCTGCACGCTATGCTGCTGCTCCCTACCCTGCTCCATACCCTGCTCCCTATGCTGCTCCCTCTTCTGCTGCTCCCTTTGCTGCTCCCTACCCTGCTCACTACCTTGCTCCTTACCCTGCTCCCTACTCTCACCCCTATGCTGCTGCACGCTATGCTGCTGCTCCCTACCCTGCTCCCTACTCTCACCCCTATGCTACTGCTCGCTATGCTGCTGCTCCCTACCCTGCTCCCTATGCTGCTCCCTATGCTGCTGCTCCCTTTGCTGCTCCCTACCCTGCTCGCTACGTTGCTCCTTACCCTGTTCCCTACTCTCACGCCTATGCTGCTGCTCCCTATGCTGCCGCTCCCTATGCTGCTCCCTATGCGGCTCCCTATGCTGCTGCTCCCTATGCTTATGCTTTTGCTGCCTTTGCTGACCTTAACGCTGACCCTCACGCTGACCTTAACGCTGACCCTCACGCTGACCCTCATGCTGACCTTAACGCTGTCCCTCATGATGGTGATGATGATATGAACGATGAAATTAACCGTATGCTTCAAAGATACAGGTTAGGGCTCCCCGATGAGGAGGAGGACTCTGACATTGATGTCGTGGGTGAGTTTGCGTTACAGGTCCCTTTACTGGACATTGAAGACATCGGGCCAGTGCCCCCAGAAGACTCTTTTGAGGAGCTCCTGGATGCAGATGTTCTTGAATCTCCCTCAACTTCTGGCCTCGACTCTTCGGCAAAACGGCGCAGGGACGAGAGCGACGGGGAGGAGTCTGCTGCGAAGAGGGCGCGTTAGTCTGAAGACAGCGACTCTGATTGACAATCCTCTGGGAAGCTTCGGAGCAACCACTGAGTCCACTTGCAGCAGGAACAGTGGTTGCCATGGTAGCCTTTGCGTCTGGCAGGGCTAGTGTCCCCCATGTAGCGTCTTGCATTGGGGCTTTTCTGTATTATGTAGTCATATTTGCACAAGACATCGGTCAACCTTTATTTCATCCTGAGGCCTTTGCGTCTGGCGGGGCTGTTGACCCCTTCTGCAGGTACTGGTATCCTTTGCGTCTGGCAGGGCTTGTGTCCCCCATGTAGCGTCTTGCTCTGGGGCTTTTCTTCTTCTTTGCGCGGTGGATCGATCAACTTTTCTTTCATCCTGACGGCCGGCCTTTGCGACTGGCTTGGCCGGCGCTGCCTCAGGTAGCCTTTGCGTCTGGCAGAGGCGTTGACACGCCGAGCATGTAGCCTTTGCGTCTGGCAGGGTTGAAGAAGACAAAAATGCTTTTATGTCTCGTTTTATGCCTCCCCCTCCCCCACAGTGTCCACATTCCTTTACAGGTTAAGAGTGAAGGTATCAGTGAAAACTGACAAACAACAGAGTAAGTAGAACTCCCAAGGTTAGAAATGCCTTCATATGGCCAAATATAGTGTATGCCGTTATGGAAATTCATAATATTCAAATATTTATAATTACTTCCCATACTAATCATGTTTTTATCCCATTTGGCCGTGTGAAAAAGTAAGTACCAGCGTCTGTTTTGTTCAGACAGTGACCTATAACATGAATACAAAGAAGTAATATGCAAAGATAATTTGCCCGTGCCACTTACCATTATGTGTTGTTACCTCTCTCACTTTGCCACCTGAGATGCTGCTGTTCAATGTGGACGAAAAAGGTAAGTAACTTAGAATAATCTGTAACCTACAGGCAACGTTAGAAGTAGGTTCTTTTATTCTATTGTAAATCTGTTTATGCACTTTGTATGTTGACTCTATTATGCAAATATTGTTTTTACTAACCAATACTTTAACCACGCTCCAACTGAGCTGCTGCTGTTCACCGAGGACCAAAAGGTGAGTGTGAGCATAACGACTATATATCATCACCAAGTTTATCTGTAGAAATATAGGAATATAATTAGAGTACGAGCTTGTGACCTGTAAGAATAAAATAAAACCTGAGTAACTTGGTTCTCCGCGTTACATCACCGATTCAATGATCAAAATGTAATATGTGTTACTCACTGTTATTTTTAACAGGCCGCTACCTCTCGCTGTGGACTAAAAGATGAGTAAGAGTATCTGACTTCTGTAATATGTATATAAAGTAATGTGTGTTATTGTGTAAACTAGCTCTTTGTGCACCTCAGTATCCTTAAACTGTCACTAATTCAATAACTCAAAGGTGTTTGTGCCCCAGACAGAAAAGTGTCAATAGTGAATGATAACATCAATATTTAGGTATATTTGCTGGCCTTTCTCACTATGACGTCCACACAGGGAGCAGCAAAGGAGGAAGAGCCGGACTCCGGGTTCCTGCAGGACATCCAGGGCTACACGTTGAACACTAAAAAGAAACGCCCACATTCCACTCCCAGGACAAGATGGAGAGCAGCTAAGTTGAACTACTTCCTGTTCTTCTGTTTCAGAGACTCAACTTCCTGCACTACATCCAGGGTGACCATGACGACAGAAGACAATCGCTCACTCCCGACCAGGTGAGAAGGACCGTGACCAGAGGAGAGCTTTAGGCGTCCACGGTTCAGTGGAGTAAGTGAGGAAGTAGCTTGTTGCTAACATTCAGAGACATAAAGAGGAAACATGTGATGATATTTCTCACAGCTAACTTCCCTCAACATATTTCATTTATCCAACACTGTGTAGAAGATGAAGCCTGTGAATGTTTCTAGATTACAATAACGTGCGGCTGATATTGTTAGAATAGAGGATTTATTGTGAACACCAACAGTCAGTGTAACTGAATTTGGATATGAGATATTGCAGAGCTGACAAAGGGAAATACATGTTGTATCTCCTCACCAAATAGAAAGAGGAAACACGTGTATCTGTTGTTTATAGGGCAGCACTCCTGTTTTATCCTTTGGAAATCCTCGTGGTCCTGAGAGTGGATGTAAACAGAAGTGCAAGCAGCCGTCCACTCAGAACATTTCTCCACCTCACTGTTTAGATGAAGAATTCAATAAAACACTTCTCATAGAACCCTTTTGTTTTGGGAGATTTCTTTGGTTCAATCTCATGTTCATGTGAACCTTTTGGAGCGTTGAATCGGTCGCAGGTGTCATGAAATGCATCCTGGTTTAAATGGCCCTAAACCAGCTTTGGATCTTTCAACAAGCAGGCACACCGATTCATGTGGATTACTCTGTAGAACAGCGGTTCCCAAACTCAAGAATGCCGCGGCCCAATTTGAAATCTGAAAATCTTTTGCGGCCCACCCAAACCTTTAATCACAACTCTGATCAAAACATAAACTAGGGATGATTAAATGACCTTAAGAATTTAACCGATTAAAAATGTATTAACCGACAATGTATGTTTTGTGTACCATTTTCTCCAGGGCTCAAATATATATATATATATATATATATATAATTACTTTAATACTACAAGAGGGCGCCCCATTTGACATTGTTTTGTTTGGCGGCGCCTTTTGTTGAATAACGACAGGCGGACAAGAGCTGGTCAGATAAAAGAATAACACGTAATCTTTATATTAATTTCAAACTTTTCAAAATTGAAAATTTTGTATTTGCATTTATTGTAAATTACCTCTCGCGGCCCACACTTTGGGAATCGCTGTAGAACATTTCCACTTCCAGAATAATACGTATTTCATGAGGTAATTAAGCTTCAAGTTGGGTCTGCAAAACAGAAATCCTGCTTTCTTCACACATGCGAATAAAGGTTTATCGTTGTGATGATCATAAAACACAACAATCGGATGGATGAAATAATTAAATGCTGTTCTTGAATGAAATGAAGGTTCAGCCTGAACGTGGCACCAGAGGCTCCTCTGCTTTGGGTCTGAGCTTAATCGGTTTGAAACAGAATGCTGAGAGCACTCATCAGACCAGTGTGAAGCCTGGTTTTAAGCCTCGCTTATGCTTCTGCGTTTTCAGAGCGACGCAGACGCAAGACCCCCTAGAGATGCGAGGTGTGTTGGGAATGGGAGAGTGTTGATTTTTGCTGTTAATTGTGCGCAGCAAGGCAAGAGGCAAGTTAATGGCGTTGACGTCGCTGAATGGAGCGAAGGTGAAGTGTCATGTACCGGGTGGAAGGGCTAAGAGCAGGGGGGTGATTACGGGGGTACCGGGGGATATAACAATGGAGGAATTCAAGAAAGAAGTAAAGGGAGGACGGGTAGTGGAGGCAAAACGAATGACAAATAAACACAAAGGGAACGGAGAGGAGAGCCCAACTGTGATGGTGGAGTTTGATGGGCATATACCCAGTAGAGCAGGGGTATTCAACTAAAATGTTAAGAGGTCCAGTTGGAGAAATTTTCTTGAAGCAAAGGTCCAGAAGATCATAATGTCTAATTATTTAGTGTGATATATATTTAAGTAGCCTGGTAGTTGTATAAACATCTGCATATAATCAATACCTTTCAAATCAAAGGAATTCGGTACGATATAAAACACTTTTTTTAACAATATATATTATCATGTAACATAGAACTGGACTTATGTGTGACTGCAGATATGTATAATGCTCTCTCATGAACTAAATAAAAGTAGGGCTGCATTTTTTAAATAAATACAAAATGAAAATGGTGCATGTAATAATAAATAATAATAATCAAAAAGTGCTTAACTTCAGAAAAATTAAATAAAGGGAGGAAAAGCTTAAATGTCCCCGTTTCTGTTTCAGTCTCAAACGATTTTACAGATAATAAATCTTAACACATCTTAACAATTTAAGTTTTAGAGCATTAGTCTTGCATCCCACTCCCCCACTGTTGGTCAGTGGGATAATTGAGCTCTAGCTTGTCCTGTCAGGACTTTAAACCTGGGCTTTAATGGAGTCAGGGCCATCCGCATGCACATGTGGAGGTGCTCATTGGTGAGCCTCGAACGAGCCAGAAAGTGGAAGGGTCAGTTCTTAGAAACTGCTCTCTCAGGGACGCATCTGCTTGGAGATCAACCAGTTGCATCTGGAGAGGCCCAGGATTTACCCATTTAAAGTCCTCTGAGAACCCCCTGACATCCGTGATGATAAATGGGTTCTGAATGAACATGGTGAGCTGCTGTCCAAAGCTGAAGCTGTCAAAACGGTTGCTGAAGTTTACGATCAGCTTATCAATGAATTCAACAAAAGAAGACACGTCTCTCTGTCCCTGTACCTGGAAAAAGGCCACATTATCCATCTGTTTCTCATTTCCTAAAAAGAGAGAAAACTGCGTTGCCTTCTGATGTCTTAGCTCTGCCAAAAAAGATGCTACTTCCCTCCTGATGGACCAAAAGCGCACTAAGACCTTCCCTTTGCTGAGCCATCTCACATTATTGTGCGGCAAAAGATCATCAGCATTGGCATCAACTTCTCTGAGGAATTCCCTCAGCATGCGATGCTGGGTGGAAGAGGATGCCCTGAGAAAATTGATCATTTTCATCATTGTATTCATCACTTCAGCATGCTCATCTGACAGGGAGGCACAGAGGACAGATTGGTGAATGATGCAATGTAAGCTATGAGCTCTGGATTGTCCTCTTTCAGTCTTGCTACAGCTCCTTTCTCTCTCCCTATCATAGCAGGGGCTCCATCTGTGGCTATTGAAACCACTTGTGTTGGCTCGAATCTCCTTAATGGCCAGGTAGATATCTTCTCCTCTTGTACTGGTTTGAAGGGGAGTAACACCTAACAGATCTTCACAGAATGCTTTCTGGTCTGTGTTGAAAAACCTGACCTACACTAACAGCTGAGCATTGTCACAGATGTCAGTGGACTCATCCACAGCTAAGCCTACACATGGTGCCTTATGTATGGCTTCCTTTAGCTGGGTTAGCACATCCTGAGTTAATATTTCACCTATTTTGTGGCAGATGATGCTGACATGGGTATTTGCTTTATCTTATCACAAAGCTCTTGTTTTGGTTTTCCGTCAAGTAATGTTTCAGCGACGACACTCATGCATTCTTTGACAAGCCCTCCATCAGTAAATGACTTTTTGTGTTGCCCCAGAATCCAAGCAACTCTGAGGGAACCCTCATGAGCACGTTGTTGGGCAGTGAACGTGTGGCTCAGGATCCTGGTTGACTCTTCATATTGGGCTGTGAGGCCACTTGTTTTCTGTGATCTCACTTCGGATTTGAGTGGGTATGTTTATTTAAAACCTTTATGTTTTGTCTCATAATGGCGTTTCACATTGCCACTTTTAATAAGTGCCACGGTTTCTGAACATATAAGACACACTGGTTTTGTGCTCCCTGTGGGAAGTATGAACAGAAATGAGTCTGTCCATAACTGATTAAATGCGCTATTTTCGCTGTCAACTTTTCTTTTTTTGGAGAGCGACATTTGTTCTTTATGTTTCTCTCCCTTTCTCTGTCTCACTCGACTTGTCCTCAACTTTCTCCGGCACGGTCGTCCGTTTCTCTCCCTTTGTTTTCTAAATGTGTCGCTATCTTTCTTTTTCTTTCTCTAACTTTCTCATCTCTCAGCGCGGGCGCAGCGCTGTCTTGAGACGTAATGTTTACCGCCGAGAATGCATAGATTTGATTGGCTGAGTTGGCTCGCATGCAATTGGTCTGTGCGTTTCCTCATCCGCTAAACCACTACCGTAAAAAACTGCAAAAGCCGCGCCGCGCCGCCAGGTAAAAAAATAAAAACGCCGTCAGGTTTTAAATCACAACCTTCTGTTTTGGCTGGCGGTCCGGGTCCGGATGGGACGGCCTCTGGGTCCGGACCCGGACCGCGGTCCGCCAGTTAGTGACCTATGGGATAGAGGGTGTAGGTGTAGAGGGTGTAGGTGGGCGGATGTGCTACGTTTGTTGAGGACGGACTGGCATACAGTAGTAGTGGAGGTAAACGATGCAGAGTGTGTCGGGATAGAGGTGTGCAGGAATGAAGGCGGCATAGTGGTGTTACATTTTTATAACCCTTGTATGCCTCTAAGTGCAGAGCAGCTAGATGTAATGGGTAGGTGTGGTGGGGGTGGAAAGGTGATTTGGTGTGGGGACTTTAATGCACATAATGAGATATGGGGAGGTGGACACACGGATGGTAATGGGGCAGTGGTGGAGGAATGTATGGAGGGTTGTGGGATGGTATGTGTTAATGGGGGGGGGGGTGGTACTAGGGTAAATATAGGGAAAGGGACTGAATCCTGTTTAGATCCAATGTGGGTGTCTGCGTCTATGGCAGGGAGGTGTGAGTTGCGAGTGATGAGACTCCACCGTAGGGAGTGATCATTACCCTATTGTTGGTAGGTTTGAGGCTGGTGTGTGTATGCAGAGCAGAGGTCATGGCAAGAGGTGGTGTTATGAGAAGGCTGATTGGATCAAGTTCAAGTACTTGCGTGAGAGGGTAGGACGGAAGTTGACGATGGAGGGATCAGTGAATGAATGTGCTCAGGAACTGACAAGTATGCTAGTGGCAGCAGCAAATGGAAAATGTTCAGGAAAATGTTGGGTAAAGGAGGAGATGCGGAAATACCAGTGTTGGTGGTGGGGGATGCAATTGCTATGACCGGTAAGGAAAAGGTGGATGCGTTGGGGGTAGCATTTGCGAAGGTTCACAGTGGCGAGCACCTATGTGAGGAGGCGATGCGAGATGTTAAAACAAAACGGAGATGTGTTTCATAAGAAGGTAGGGACGGAGGAGGTGATGGATGCGGAATTCAGTTTGAGCTGACGAGGGCACTGGTGGTATGCAGGCGTTCGGCACCGGGAGAGGATAGGGTATGCTATGAGATGGTGATGAAGGCCCCTGATAATGTAATGGAAGCTATAGTAGGGCTGTTTAACAAGGTGTGGAGGACTGGGGTGCTGCCGGACGGGTGGAAGCAGGCCGTAGTACTGCCGTTTGCTAAACCGGGTAAAGATCCAGGGAAGGTGGATAGCTATAGACAAATAGCTTTGACCTCAAACTTATGTAAACTGATGGAAAAGATGATAGTTAAAAGATTGATATTCTACCTGGAAAGTAAGGGATTGATGAGTGAAGCACAGAGTGGGTTCAGGAGAGGAAGGTCTACTATGGATGCACTGGTGGTGGTTAGCACAGAGATAGCCAAGGCACTTGCTATGAAGGAGAAGATGGTGGTGGTGTACTTTGATATAGAGAAGGCGTATGACACTATGTGGAGAGAGGGGGTGTTAATGAAGTTAAGTGCATTGGGAGTTGAGGGAGTTGTATAATTGGATTCTGAATTTCTTGTTTGACAGGTACATACAGGTGAGGGTGGGGACGATATTGTCAGAGAGGCATGAGGTTGCTAATGGCACCCCACAGGGCAGTGTGACTAGCCCTGTGTTGTTTACAATAATGATAGACGATGTGTTTAGGGATGTAGGGAGAGGTATGGGTATGGCACTATATGCAGATGATGGGGCTTTGTGGAAGAGCGGTAAGAATGAGAAGTTTGTAATGAGGAAGATGCAAGAGGCGGTGGATGTGGTGGAAGAATGGTCCAAGAGATGGGGTTTTAGGATGTCTGTGACTAAATCGTGTTTCATGATGTACTCGAGGAGGAGAGTGAGAGAGGTTCGGTTACATATGTATGGACAGGAATTGGGAAGGGTGTTAGAGTTTAAATATTTGGGAGTATGGTTTGATGAGAGGCTTACATTCAGGAAACATGTGGTGTTTATAGAAAAGTGCAGGAAGGTGCTGAATCTGATGAGGGCTGTGACAGGTGTAGACTGGGGGGCAGATCGGAGGACACTGTTGTGTATGTATCAGGCACTGGTTAGATCCACGATAGATTATGGGTGTTTTACTTGTCTAACTGTCTCTTTAATCTTCTCTTTGAGATTTGGCGAGAGATGGGGGGCGTAGAGGGCTGGACCCGTGGATTGTAGACTGAAGGAGGGCGGTCAGGGCTCCTCCTTAATAGCTGCCTGAAGAAACCTGGTCGCGTTTCTCTCGTCTTCTCCTCTTGCAGTTTCCTTCGGAGCTTCTCAAGCTCAGTGTCTCTGTCCTCCATCTGTCTTCCGAAGACCCCAAGGCTCTTCTTTTTGAGGTACAAGCAGATGTCCTCGAGGATCACGTTCTCCTTCCTCACTTTTGTTAAGGCCTCGTCCAACGGTTTGTTCTTGGAAATCTCCGCCCTAAACTTCTCACCAAGGGACCCGTGGGCTAACTTCAAGGATGCTACAGTGTTCTCCAAGTCCAATGCTCTCTTCTCCAGGGCGTTGTACTTTTCCACCTTCTCATTCTGCAAGTGTAGACTCTCCTCAAGATGGCTTTTTTCGGCCTCCTGTCCTCTGACGGTCTCCTCCAGATCCTCCACCTTCTGTGTCAGCTCGCCGATCTTGGCCACGGCGCGACAGAATCGGTCTCAGGACCACCGATCTCTTCGCTCTGGTCGTTGCTGGTATTCAGGAGTTTTAGTTTCTCTGCCTCATTGTTGGCAATTATGTCCTTCATGTGGTCTTCCATCTTTTGTACTGCGTTGCACTCTTCCACCTTCTCATTCTGCAGGTGTAGACTCTCCTCCAGATGGCTTATTTCGGCCTCCTGTCTTCTGACGGTCAGCTCCAGATCCTCCACCTTCTGTGTCAGCTCGCTGACCTCGGCCACGGAGCAACATAAATCTTTTTTCACCAGACATCCGATTGAACATTTAGGTGGGCTCTCAGGACCACCGATCGCTTTGGTCTGGTTGTTGCTGGTCTTCAGGAGTTTTAGTTTCTCTGCCTCATTGTTGGCAATTATGTCCTTCATGTGGTCTTCCATCTTTTGTACTGCGTTGTACTCTTCCACCTTCTCATTCTGCAGGTGTAGACTCTCCTCCAGATGGCTTATTTCGGCTTCCTGTCTTCTGACGGTCTCCACCTTCTGTGTCAGCTCCCTGTACTTGGCCACGGCGGGAAAGAAATTTGTTTTCACCCGACATCTGATTGGACGTTTGGGTGGGCTGTGAGGACCACCGATCTCTTTGCTCTGGTCGTTTCTGGTCTTCAGGAGTTTCAGTTTCTCTGCCTCATTGTCGGCAATTATCTCCATGCGGTCTTCCATCTTTTTCTCCCGTTCAAGGAGAATTTTCCTTTTAAACTCCCACAGCTCACTTACCTGCTCTGTCAGCCTGATGATCTTGTACTTGGCACAACATAGTTCAGTTTTAATCGGAACTCTGGGTGGAGGTCCTGGATGGCTTGGAGAGGGAGTGGACGTTTCTGTGATAATCGCTGAAAGACTGTGTCCCTCGCTGATTTGTCCTGGAAGAGGGTTCATGGCTGTGTCTTTATGTGAAAAACTGTGGGCCAGCGTATCTGAAATGGTTCTTAATGAAAGACTGAATCTGTCTCGACGAGAACTAAATGTTCGTCTTACCTCTGCAGTGACTTGAACTTGACTGACTCTCTCCCCCTCTGAGATTCTAATGGAACGTCTGTGGATGTTCCAGTGTGATAAGCTTCTGTGAATATGTGCTGCATCATTGGCTGTCACAGCTTGATGTCATAGCTTCTGTGAATGCGTGCTGCATCATTGGCTGTCACAGCTTGATGTCATCGCTTCTGTGAATGCGTGCTGCGTCATTGGCTGTCACAGCTTGATGTCATCGCTTCTGTGATGTGATCCCTTTGAAGTATGTCCAATCAGAGACCAGTACAGGTTCCGGAGTTTTGATTGGCTGAGCAGAATATTCAAATACACAGTAAACTGGGAAATACAAGGGGATTTTATTTTTGAAAAACAACACTATCTTATTCCCACAATTATAACTTTTCATTCACAATGTTTGGGTCAAATTTAAATGTTATTTAATTAAAACTTAAAAATATTCTTTTTTTATTTTACACAACTATCTTTCGGTTCAATAGACACACGTGTGTAGGTTTTTATATATTATACTATACCCCTTAACTCCAGTACATTAAAACAATTAAAATAACTGAAATAATTGAAGTATCCAATGGGATATGAAGAGCCTGCTATGTTTTACTCCCTTGACAACAAGTAAAATGCAGGTGACAGAACAACGAGGGGAGGGAGGTGAGCCAAGAAGACGGGGAGGTGTTTGGTTGAGGTGTGTGATGACACTGGAGTGAAGGTTTTACTCACGGTTGATGGATGAGACTGAACTTGCTCATGTCACCGTCAGACAGGCTCTGGGGGAAGTAACAGAGAAATCCATTTTCAATTGTGACAAGTTGGGTGAAAATTGCAGAGTTCTCAAGTGACTGTGATGTCTCAGGTGAGGCGATACTACAAGGGGGTCACATTGTCACCAAACACGTGCATTGGAGCAGTGGTTCTCAAACTGAGGGACGTGTACCCCTGGAGGTACGTGAAGGCACTCCAGGGGATACCTGAGATGGTTTTTTAATGATTTTAAAATAAAATAATAAAATAAAATAAGCATGCTACACACACACACACACACAAACGTCCATTACTTTCGAGGCTCCCCCTTTTCAATCGGCCTCTCTCCAAACGCCGTCTTACCGTGTGTTCGTGTTCATCTGCGTCGACAGATAATAAAGAGCCCACTATAGCGAGAAAAGCCGCAGCTGCTACCTTCCACCTGGAAGACCCCATTCTTTTTCGGAGTAGGAATACAGCGAGATTGGGGATGTTAGCTTTGTAGGGCTATCCCACCTTCTTCCTGGTTGTATGACAGAGGCAATTTTAGGGATGCTCTCGTTCGCATTTGGCGTAAGCGCTTCACCACCGCACATCGCACGCAAATTTGATGGGCTGACTTGAGTCACATGACCCGCATCCTCCAGTCACGGGGGAAAGCGATGGATCAAACGGTGGATAAAAAAACTCCCGCCTGCGTATCGTCCGCAACCTTCAGCCACGTCATCCCAGGCCTACCAACTCTCACGGTTTCGCCGTGTGACACACGCTTTTGCATGTTTTCACACGCACTCACGCCACACAACCAATTTCTCACGGCAAAAAAAAAAATCTGATTTTGGGCCGAAGCGCGTTCGTTCCTTTTCAAACTCCCCGACAATAGATGGCGCTAAGGAGCGCATCTGTAAACCCATTCGCTGCATAGACATCCTATTTACCCCAAAGAGTCCCGAAGTTAGCAACAGAAGAAGATTTTCAAACAGACACAACCGCGGGAGAAACTCAGGAGGAGCAAAGACTAAGGTATGTTAATGACATGTGGTTCAATTAAGTACTCACTCTCTTAAACTTTAAATCTTGAAAGAAATTATTTGTTGTGTTTGTGCGTGTGATTTTGAGTGGTGAATGTAAACTCAGCTGTCATAACAAGCAGCACTGCTGCTAATCTAATCTTAAACACAGGTCTATTAATTAGGCTATATTGTGGTACATAGACAGTCATTGAGGCACAGCAATAGTTTTCTGGTTGAATGTTCAGCTCAAGTCTAGAAGGCCCAACAAGTCATGAGCAGATGAACATAAATCAGAATAAGTTCAGGCATACCACCCAAAAATCCACGAGAATGCATGAAATAACATCTACTTAAACCAAAATGTCCTGGGGGTGGACCATCAGCTACGTCTCTGCTTCTCAGAATGTAACCAATGTTGTCCATCTCCAGTAGGCCGCCCCTATCAACGACTTTGGGCCCCACAAACCACCAGAATGCAGGGTACAACATGGGTACTACGCCAAATGAATTCCAATTTCCTGATATTTGAGCCACCAACGTGTGTGGCTGCGTGCGCGGCAAAATTTTGGTCACCCCCGACAAAATCTCACTCCAAGGTTTTTTGAAAAGTTGGCAGCTCTGCATCCGACTGCCAAGACTGGAGCTTCAGCGCACCTTTGGCAGATCTGGTGCATACAACACAATCACGAGCTCAACAAACACGTTTATTCCCCCAAGAGGCCTCGTAATGGGCCTAAAGTTGTCGTAACACTATCTCACTTTTTATGCATTGACGTGTACATGGACGCATTCACATCTGTTTGGAATGATTGTGTCCCCCCCCCCCCACACACCGACAATGGATCATTCATTTTGCTGTGCTTCACAGAATCTTGCGCAATCGGTATGACTCATAGTTAATAACGAGGAAAGCATTTGGCTTTCCTTTCCCGATCCGCGATGACTGGCTGGGTTGTTTGACGGCAGTTAGTGGCAAATTCTACGAAGCTAAATGGATGG